GCTGATGAGTCATGGTACTGTTCACCGGATGCAAATAACATAGACTGCACATGTCGTGGCTTAACGTCGTTGTCGGCGCAAGATCGGGGTTTCTTTTTCCCGCGTGCTGTGTCTTTGGATTCGTTAGATTGGAATATTGCTTTTTTATTCTATCCAGAGCCGCCGCAAGCGCGGGGATGCTTTCCATTGTATTCCCATTGGCCCAAGTTTAGCTCATTTGCTTGAGATGGTTTACAAGCCTTTGGATTGCTTCCTCGACCCAACCGACCGGTATCGTTTCGCCTGCCCTATGTGGATGAGACTGGGGTATATTTGCGAACGATGATGACTTTGTAAAGTACAATATTACCCATGTCAAGTCATAGATGTAGCCAGCATATATTTTTTCACAAAACCATTGTCATATTGCGGGATGCTTTCCATCTGGCTGTGAGGTGGGTGATTCAACAACAAGGATGGGTTGAAGCACCATCCACTGAAGTGCATGTCCCAGTCGTGGGCTTGGCACTTGGTAACGTAGGCCTTGCATAGCTGGCTATGCTTATTAGGTTCGTGAATGGATTATACCGGGCAGGGCTCGGAGAGAATACGGGCTTGGAGAGCTGGAGAGTTGTACGTGGGATGGACAGAGGGACGGTTCGGAACCAAAGTTGTGAGTAAATGGGCCTTTTCCTACCGGTCCATATTGATAGTAGATGGTATGTAGGGTCGGTATGTCCGAATGGAGTTAAGCATGTGTCGGCCAGAGGTGACAGCGGACGGGCCAAGAGCGAGATGAAAAGGCCGTGAGAGGCGGTGCAGTGTGAGTGTCAAATAGCCGCTTGCTGCCATGATCGGTCTGGCTGGAGTGTATGTACACCGCTGTAGTGGCCGATTTGCAGCCGGGGCTTGCCACAATCACCATGGGCTCGAGGCTCCGGCAAGGCATGACGGTTGCTGGTGATTGGCGGGCGGAGGATGCAGCGCGTGGGCTCTGGAACCGCATAGTACGTGGCTTTACTTTGCGCCTAGTGCTGACGGGCAGCACTGATCGACGGGCTCTGTAAAGGTTCCCCTTGTGTGCCATGTTGCCCTGCTGAGCTTCCACCTACCAGAGCCCAGCCGTCCGGGGGATATGCTCGCAGCTCACGCCCGTCCAGCACGCCCGCTCACCACGGCTGGGCTGGGCTGCCTCGAGCATGGCAGGGCGGGGTATCGCGGCTCCTCTGGCCTTGCATCTGTCTATTAGGCTGTACATACTACATGTGTACTAGACATGCGTCTGTGCGACGATTGCGAAGCCGCAGTAAGCAACATCCGCTGGCTGGGAATCCTGGGGTTCAAACAGCTGCGGCATCAGCATCGGTCTTGCTGGGCTCATCAGCCATGGGCGCAGCACAGCACAGCACAGCGCAGCGCCCGCTGCTGTCTAGGTGTACTAGATACATACATGCTGTCCATAGTACATAGTAGGCCGGCCAGACGGGGCATGGCCAGCCGCGACATGCAGGCGTCGCACGCAGCCGATGCGGCGGTGATAGGGCAGAGGGGCGACGAAGAAGAAGAAGAAGAAGAAGCTACCATGAAATAAGCAGCCCTAGCAGCAGTCGCCTTGAAACCGTTTGCTGGGGTGTGAGATGCATGTGGGCTGCCGACGGGTATAGCTGGTGCAGCAGGGCGGGCTGGACAGCAGCGGGAGTGAGCACCTCTAAGCTCAATCCCTACCGCTGCTGCGCTCGAGTATAATAAGAGGCACCTGTTCAGCCCTCTGGCGTCAGTCCTGCTGCTGCTGCTGCTCTCGGCGCAATTACTTTAGGGCGCTTGCTCGCCCATCACGGCTCTTGCTTCCCTCCCCTCCCATCCTAACCACACCATGGACTACAACTACTACGCCGCGCCCCAGCAGCCATACTCGCACCTCGTCGGCGTCGGGCCCCACGCATTCCCTCACTCGGCCCTCGAGCAGGACACGACACACAGCACCGTGAGTTTACTCTGTTTTTCGGCTTCCCCAGTGGTGTGATGGAAGTTGTCGAGTCGGCCCTGCTTTGCGTACACACTCACCGTGCGTGACTAATCGGGCGTGTACAGGAACCTCTTGACGCCGTCCTGTTTCCTTCTGCCTACGATGCCACTGCTTTCGCCAACGGCTTGCCGACCCCCCAACAGGAGTCGCCAGAAAACGCTGCAGCACACACTCCCATGGCCGTCAGTAGCGTAGACTCGGGCATTGGCGCCGAATTCGACGATGGTCGGATAAGCCGGGCGAGGAGCAGCAGTGAAGAGAAGGACAACCTGACGCCTGCTCAGAGCAGGCGCAAGGCTCAGAACCGCGCTGCGTAAGCTCCACCCGCCCTCTCCCACCTGTCCCGCCATACACTGACCCTCTGACCGCCCTCTACAGTCAGCGTGCCTTTCGTGAGCGCAAGGAGCGCCATGTCAAGGAGCTCGAGACCAAGCTCTCCGCCCTCGAGTCCAGCACCCACTCGCTGCAGTCGGACAATGAGCGCCTCAAGGCTGCCCTGCAGCGCGCCCGCACCGAGAACGAGATCCTGCGTGCCACCACCGGCCACTCGCCTTCGTCCCCACCCCAGCCCGTAACCGCAAGCTATCCCTCGCCCGGCGCCCACCTCCTCCTCGAAGACCATGAAAAGGAAGAGGAATACAAAGTTCAGCCCCTGCCCAACGGCTCCGTTATCAATGCTGCTGGTAAGGAACACTCGCGTCAGGGCCCAAGGGGCAAAGAGGTCCCTGCTGCAAAGGCCTGGGATCTTATCCAGTCACATGCTCTCATCAAGCAGGGCCTCGTAGACGTGGCCGATGTATGTGAGCGGCTCAAAGGCTCGGCCAAGTGCGATGGTCATGGCCCCGTCTTTGAAGAGAGCGCCATTTGGCAGGCCATTGACGAATCACGCCGCTGCGGAGGTGATGAATTGATATGATCCTCAGCCAGGCACGCTGAATCCTTCGTTTCTCTTAATACCCCCTTTTCTCTTTCTTTTCCACTTTCATGGTTTCTGGTGTTTTGGCGTCTGGCACATGACTGACTGGTGGCTTGTCTGCTAAGCTGGCCCACAAAATCGGACACTTTGGTGTCACGGGGAGGCACATTTCGGGCGGTTTGTTCATGCTACGACACAGAAAAGCGATAGGCTTGGTTCCTCGAGATTCTGCATACACTTACCACAATCAAACAAGTACGCATATCTAATCGGTATACCAGTCTCACGCATCCTTCATCTAGCTCACAAACACGTGTTGCAATCTGACTGCCATTGTGGCTTCTGTTCCCTCTCAGGATGCGGCACGAGACGTCTGAGCAGCTGAAAGTTTGTCCTACACACAAAGAACCGGGATCACAAAACCCGAGCACCGCGAACAAGGATCGGGACAGGGACCTCGGCGGCGCACCAGGCGCTCGACTGGGGTCCGATCACATATGTTTGGTTCTGCAACGGAAATAAAGCTTCCCAGGACATTGGTTGATTATCACCGTTTTAGAGCCTCTGGGCATGAGTACTACATGGATTCTCGTTTCGGGGAGCATCCGGCAGCACACAGCAACACTCTAATCATCTGTCATCGCCGGCCTATATCCATAAACGGCAGTAGGAAGTGACCCAACTTCATGTCCTAGTCCAAGGCCCGCCGCAGCAAAGCAAAAATTCCAATGACCGTGTAATACTCACATGGTATCTTGCTTTGTACTAGCACGGTAAGCGGGCCGACTTTACTGTCTGTAGCCAGCCGCGTACGAAAAAAAAGATGAAGGAATTGGTGCCGCTGATAGCCAGCCAATTGAATAGCAGGAACAATGCAGCACAGCGTGGGGGTGAAAGTCTTGATAGCACAGTGACCAGGAACGCACATGCTACTTGCAAAACTTCATTTTGCAGAAATCAAACCCTACAATAAGACTCTTCTCTTTCTTTATCGCTTCAAATCTTCATCCAGCGTTATGTATGTCCATAGTAAGAAACATAGTAATCTATACATTACTCCACAGCCTTCCTTTGCCCCCCTGTCTTCTCCTGCTCAACTTGAAAGAAGGAAAAGAAAAGCACCCCACTACACACGTCCATACTCTCCTCAACCGAATCCGAGCAAACCCAAACTCTCTATGTGTCTGTGTCTGTATGTATGTGCATAATGCAAGCCACATCTCGCTCTTCTTGGCCCCCACCCCTCCTCTCATGTCCCAAACAAACCAAAAAAAAAGCCAAGTCCAAACCGTCAGCAAGTGCACACGCACACCTGGCGACATGTCAGCACAGCACGCCGCCAGTGTAAACGGTGACATAAGCCCCCTCTGGGCGAGACCACGGATGACTAGACTATGTAATGTGGCATGCGGGGAAGCGAAGGAGGGGAGGGGGGAGGCCTTGTTCCGGGGTCTAGGTCGCTTCAAGTCTGGTTGGTTGGATGTAAGGGAGTCGTGGTACCGATGCTGCGGCTAAGAGGGTAGCTTTGCAGTTTTGTTCGGTTGCAGGAAGTGGGAGGGGTGTGAGATTGGGAGCGAGACAAAGAGAAGGCTGGACCGGGCTAGGCTGGGCTGTCTCTTTTTTTTGGGGCTGGGAACAAGGCAGACTTATTGCAATTCTTTTTTCCCTTTGGCTGATGGGTGCGGAAATTAAAATCTTCGTGGGGGGTTGGAAACATCTGGGTACTGCTCACTGTTGCTACAGACTACTACTTTCCGTCTTGCATGGGAGAGTGCTTGTTACACAAGGAAGACGTCTGCAATGTTGTTGCTGTGCATTGATCTAACCTCCCCTTTTTGTGTATCTGTACATATGTATTCCTGCCTCTTCTTGTGCAGAAACCAGCTTTTTCCCAACCCGTCTTCATCCTAACCATTGGCCAGGTTTCTCGTTTTGCAGTGCAAGCCTGCATATCTCGCAACATGCCTCTTCATATAGAGCTCTCTGCCATTGCAACACTCACACATACGTGTTATGTGCGGGAGTTGCATCTGTAGCAGAAATGGCTGGCCCGAAAGAAAGATCGTGATTATCGCCCCCTCAATCCCAATCGCTATCGTCGTCCTCGGCCACGGTCTTACCTTGCCGTATCTTATTCGAGCTTTCCTCTCCCTCCTCCTTCTTCTGCTGTAAACGCGAATCACCAAGTTTGACAGCCCCAACATCCACCAACACCTTTTCCAGATCTAGCATAGCAATCACACAATGTCAGCACTCTATCTCTCCCATGATACACAGCCTCGGCAAAACAGGAAAGAGGAACCGTTTTACTCACCTTGCACACTTGTCCTCGGCCCAGCCAACTGCATAAGCGTAACAATCTGCCTCTTGATATCCCCATCCTTGTAAATCAGCACCGTCGGCGTATTCTTATCCGGATACCCTTCTATACACAAGTCCGCTCTCATCTGGCAGAACTTGACGTCACCAAAGCGCTTCGCTAGCTCCCGCCAGTGCTCAATCATGATTCTGCTTTCGGTATTCGTTCCAGTGGAGCTGGTCAGCAGCACGAGTACATATGCGTCTTTGCTTGCCTCGGTTACATCGCGCGAGTAGTCGGGTTTTTGTAGGTGGTAAACTTGGTTGTAGACGGATGCCGTGTTGATGCTCGAGAGCTCTGCCATGCGCTTTTGGCGGTATGAGTCGAGGAAGTCATCGTCTTCGAGATCTTCGAGTTCGTCGAGTTCGTCGAGGTCTTTGCCTTCGAGTCGGTTCTCGTGGGCTAGTTGTCGCGCTTGCTCCAGGGCTTCTTGGATCATGGGCGTTGGCGATGGCGGCTTCTCGGGTATCACGCCGTGTTTGCGCAGGATGTCATTCCTAGCGCATGCATGTTAGAAGCTTGCATTTGTTGTTTCGCCGTCATTTTGTGCTGGATTGGCTCACCATTCCGTGTCGGCGTTGGGGTCGTCGACTGCGACATTTACGGGCATGTCTGGCATCTGCATGGTTGCGGTTTGAAAGCGCAAGTGGTCAAGGTTTTTCTGATTGAATCTTCTCAGCAAAACGTCGGTACTGTCAAATATGTGCTTGTATTGTAGAATCCTGCTGCCTGTAAACTGTCAAATCTTTCGAGCAACTCGAAGCTCGCCGTGAACCCTGTCGATCTGCCCCGCCCCCACTTCATGCCCGCGGCGCCAATCTCGATTATCAAGAAACAAGAATCATAGCACTGGGCATGTTCAAACTCGTTATTGTCATATAATGTGTTGAAAAGCATCTACCCATAACTTGGATTTTATCAAATATTGTCTCTAAGGCTGGTGATCAAGTCTTGGGGGTTTCTATTCGGGTATGTATTCAACCTAACTTCCTTGAGCAACTCTTACCACCATGGAAAACTGAGGATTAGAATATTGAGGCCATCCGCCTTCTGTTAGTGTCACCGTTTTTGGGGGACTTGGGTTGCCAACAAGTCTCGGGGTCCCTGTTCTAGTAACTAAACTTAGAAAACGGGAACATTTCATTTTCTCGCTACCCTCACCCTTGCGAAAACATCACAACAGTGAATACCCCAGTTCTCGGAATAAACACACCCTATTGCCCGTCGAATTTGGCTTGAAACGTCCTAAGACTAGCAAATACTCCAGAAGCAGCGCTTCTTTGCACTACAAGGCTCGCCGCTCCCGCCTATCCTCTACCTGTTCCATAACACCAATCTCATTGATAAATGCAATAGTGAGACGAACAGTATGTCCAAAGAACATACCGACAATTTGATTATCATGGTATAGGTAGATACAACAGCAGAGACTTGAAGCACACTAAGCTATACTATCAACAAAGCACAGCAGTGGGGTTGATCATGACGAGAAAGAACCCGAAATTTATCCATTATTGTATCTTCGTCGCTTCCAGTCTTGCTGTCTGCCTTTCATCTTACAATCACTAATAGCACCGTCTTGCTTTAAACCCTTATTGTTCCTCGTAAAGCGAGGGATTTCCTCCCGAATGTTCAGTGTAGGAGTATTGAGACACCATTTCATTTCACACCCATCAAATCCAACACTAGCTAGATCCTTGGCAAGACCCTCCACAGTCCACACATGAATTCGGTTTATGGCAGTAGCATGTGGCCCAAAAAACATGGCTATGGTAACTAGGCGCTTCATTGTTACACCCATTGGTTGTGCAATCAACGCAAGTGGCGTGCTTATCGAGTATATTGCACGACCTTCTTTTGTGTGAAAGACCAGCCATTGACGTGCTGGCAAGTAATTCAATGACTTCTAGTTGGATGTGCATGACTGTTATCGGGTTTTTGTTTAGCTAAATCCTGATCTTAGCTACTCAAATCATTACCGATATGTAAATGGGAACTTTGTGGCGACAATGAATTACTTCTCTATTCGTCAATGGTCTATACACATCTACACTAGTAGATAACAGTGTCTCTACTAGAATGGTTCGACTCCAGTCAAAAAGAGACATACATCATGATATAGAAAAAAATATCACAGCCCTGGTTGAGCAACTAGCGCTCGCATGTATACTAACCTGGGTCCTTGAAAATTGGAAGCTTGAATGACAGAGAATATAGAATTGAGAATGAGGGGATCAAGGTAGTGAGTGTTGTACAATTATTGTTTGTATAGAAGACTGAAGCTATGTATTCTGGGGCGTAAAGGGCCGTCTTCGGCTACCCACTAGCACATAGCCATGACTCGTTTCTCAGGAGATGACCTATTAATAAAGTTTTTTTGTAGTACAATTAAACTAAACTGAACTGTGTCACAGCACGAACCGAGCAGCCAGAGCACGCATGCTGGATTTTCTACTGTTAGAAATTCAGCTCTGTGCTATTGTGTTAACTACAACAAAAAAGTCACGCACAACCGACGTTCTGCTAATCGTTTTGCAAAGGGCACTATGTATGATCAATGCATGACATCTGCCCTGTCTACTTGAACGCCCATGATAATGCCTATTTTCATATTCCACCGCTTAATTGTGGTAAGCCGTCTTACATGACTCTTCCAGAATCCAGCCTAGATCGACTATTGAGCAGTCTTCACAGACTCTCACTGCGCTGGGAAACCAGGAAATTCTGTGCCCAACGGCTAAATTCACAGTATGCCCGTGCATGTCTGATACGACTCGCGCGTCCTTGCAACCTACTTTTAGTGCATCGTATGTAAGCCGTAGCTCCAATTGAAGATTAGATCCTAAACTTGAAATTGCAAGGACCGGAAGAGAAATATATTCTCGTCGCAACACCTGGTGTAGCAGAACTTTCAATAAAATTGCACATCATTTGCATTGTTCTATCACTCTTATGCATGCAGTGATTGCGGGAAGCAGTAAGATAGTTATGCTCTGTGCGTGCGGTACTGCTTGAGTTAGGTTTAGGAAATTGATAAAATTACGTGAGCACTCTCGATGAGGCCTGACTAACACCTCTTGAGAATAGCTTCCTTCACGCGCTCCATAGCTTCTTTCGAAGAATGGATGGAAAGTCTTTGCGTCTGGTCAAACGATGAGTTTGTTGCTCATGGGAACCGGGGCTTTACTATTTACCGCACGGGATACGGACCTTCTTCATCTAACCAGCAATAGCAGCAACTTCTCCAAACGATTGAGGCTAAGGCGCACAAGGAAGCTCGAGAAATAACCGAAACTACTTAACAAGTCCCTGGCTTTCAACAGATGTGATCGCTTTTTCATCTCGATGCACGCTCAGATCTTGCTTTAGCTGGCCTTGATATAGATCAGCTTCGCGACCTATACAATCGTGGTCAGGGTGGCCAACCAATGAACATGGACTGAAAACTGCACCGGGTTTTTCTTGTTGCCAATAACGAAGCCCTATCAGATCCAGCCAGTTATATTATCAAATGTGTGTATGTCGACTACTGTGCAGAGGACTATATTCCATGAAACACAAGAATGGGTGGACAACGTTACTTTGGGTGGATGCCAATGAGAGCTGCAAGTGTGGTGAAATTGTAGTTTCAATTGGATATGAAGGAAATGGAGAGAATTGCTCCTCCTACTATTGGCGGAAGTCGCTGGGTAATCTGGGATGGGAATTATTGGTGATGCGAACGAGCGGGGAAGGTCTTGCTCGTCCAAAAGATGAAGCCGGATAAGATCTGAAGTAACTTCTATTCAACTACATCTCTTTGATTCCGAACAACGTTTATGCTGTTGTATGTAGTATGACCTATTTATCATAGTCTTTCGCCTAATCACTCCAGAAGTCGCCGATGAAAAGCTTGCTCGTCGAGATTGGTCGACATCGAATATGCATTTGTGTTTGAGGTATGTTATTATATCTACGGAGGCCCTGGGCGATTTGAGCAACCTCACGGTACCTCAAATGGTGAAATAGTCGCACAGAACGTATCGTGTTGGACTTTCTGGCACTCTTTAGCTCTTTAGCTCGATAAGAATACATTGAAAGCTAAATTATCAAGACTACAATAGCCAAAAAACAGCAAGTGAAGCGATGCAGAACGCTGCTCTACGAATTCTGATATTCTTTATTACAGGGTACTGGTATTGCTCCATGGGGCACGTTTGTGTAATAGTGAGAGAATAGATAACTAAAATACGTGACAGGCGGTCAAACGTTGGCTCTGGCAGCCTATAGCAACGCGTCGCACCAGCGTTTGCAGTGACCTAATCACACAGATGCCTTCACTTGCGGATTGATGGCGTGACCCAGATAGACTTATATCATTGAGCTTGACTTGGAAAACTCTTTCTATACATCTAACACACTCTCACTTGCCAGTATCTCTCTTTTCCGCTTCCTACTATTCATAGAGATACATTTCCAGCACACTGAGTGTCATTTTTAGCTGCGAAACCTAAGAGAACTCGAACGCTCCAACACCCCGCTTTCCCCTAACTTATTCCCCAAGCCCACAGCCATGGCGTGGCTTCCCTCGGGCGTTAACCACAATATACTGGCGGATGTATTGGCAGAGACATGGGATAACTGGACCAACAGGGGCTCAGCAAGAACCCAGTACGTATGCATGTCAAGTCAACATCAACTATGGCATCGAATACAAGAAGCGAATACAGGGTCAACTCCTGGAGCTAAAAGAGGAAAAGGGAATGGAAGCTAGCGTCTACAAAGTTCTTTCGTTTGATACCCTATTCTCTACTAAAGACCTCGTTGCTACTAGTTACTTTTTAATTAAAGAAGCTATATCCTTATATAGCTCTAGTGTATATATCGGGCTTTATAAGACTAGAAGCTAGGGTATAGTAGAATAGAAGCCACGTTCGTCGTACATCTACCATGGCAAGACGAAGAACTTCGCTGAACGAAACGATCAACATAAGATAAATGCATCTAGGTACAGCGATCTCATCAGAACTCCGCGGCTATTACCATGATCACGCTTTGCATCCTTCCGGTTGCTGGGGATGATGGACTGTACTATCTCACAGCAGACAGTCATTTGCCCACTAGAGACATATAGACCAGATGCATCGTATCTGGATTCTACCAGGCCACATAGGTTAAGATTCTGTCAACCCGCCCGGTACTTTATAGAATTGGCGGAAGAGGTCGACGATGATGAGGAAGAGGCCGACGATGAGGACAAGTAGAGGTACACTTGCTCTCTCAGCAATAGGTTTACGGGTGTCTTGTTTTGTCGGCGTGTTTCTTGCGGGATGCTCTGCTTCATGTTTCGGGTAGAGTCGAGAGGTTTCTTTTCCTTTCAAACTCTCTTTTTTCAGAACATCTGTCATCCGGTGATGTTCATACAGTTTCTGAATGCGACCCAGATTTGGTTTTTACTCAGATTGAAGCAGTTGTGGTCCATCAAGAGTAGGAAATGTTTACGTAGGAAACCGAGTCCATAGATTTCTTTACAAATTACACATTCAATACACATGTACTATAGATGCGCTACTACATAATTGGTCGTGATGTCTTCGCCACGTCGTGATGCGTGGTATTCTCAAGTCCCTACTTCTCCTCAGATGGCTCCCCACGCCCAAGACCCAAGCACTCCGCCATTTTGTAGAATATCTCAATGTTGCTGTAGGTTCCCTGGAAAAGATCCTGGCAAGGGCCCATTGCGTAAACGGGTACGTCGGTCAACGAACTATATCGGTTATTAGCAAGAGCTGAAATCCGGGGGTAGGTGCAGGAAGCTTACTGAACGCCCTGGTCGTTCTCTACAGGCAATGTGCCATTGACCAAGATACCGCCCTTACCATCCTTGGGATTGGCGTAGAAATCGCCGCTCCCCTTTTCCAGCTCAATCGCAGGCTTTCTAGGGCCGTCCTTGGTCACCCTATAGTTCTCATGACGATCCGGGGCAGCTGTAAAACCCTGGAAGAACGTGTAGCGAGGGTCCCAGTTGCTGGGGAAATACGAATCAGAGTAGGTCAAGTTTCCAGTGTTGGTGTATTGAGAGAGGCCGGATTGCTCGTAGACACCAATTGCATCGCGCCTTTTGCGATCATTTTCCTGCGCATCAAGGTAAAGCGTATCAACAGATCCCATAACATCGAAGCCGTGACCGTGGTCGGCGGTGACTATGATTAGAGTATCTTTGAGGCAGTTGGTGGAGTTTAGGTGTTCAATGGTTGCCTTGATGGTGTCGTCAAGCTCGAGGAGCTCCCCAAGCGCTCTCTGTCACCACCCGTCAGCACTTCACAACTCGCACAAAGAACAGAACAGCTATCAAATTACCCTCGAATCTAAGGCATGCATCATCTTATCTATGCTTGCAGCCTCAGACATGAGAAACCAGCCTTTGTCGCTAGAGCGGCTTTCCAAAATATCGATGGCTTTGAGGGTCATCTCCTTCAGTCCGGGTTGGTCGAGAGCGGGCTTCTTGTCCCCAGTGGGCGAAAGCGATTGGTTCAGGTTATCGCGATATACTGTACGATCAAGCCACTTGGCCATGTTAGACGTTGTGAAGATGCCTAGAGTCTTCTCTTTGGGCGAAGCCGCCAGGAGACTAGTGCGGTTGTGGACGACTTGATAGCCCTGGGCGGCAAATTCATCGTAGTAATTCTTGTCCTGGTAGGTGACTCCTCCAAGTTCAGAAGGATAGAACTGTTCGCCTCCACCTCCGAAGATCACATCGATCGGGGCCTTCGTCCACGTGTAGTTCTGTACTCCATTGAGGAATGTGTCAACAATGGCTCCATACTGGTTTCGCAACCGAGTATGAGCAACTAAGGCAGCAGGTGTAGCATCGGCAATAAATGCAGTAGAGACAATACCGATATGTCCACCGGTCAAACGATGGAAGATCTCCGCAATTGACTCAACCTTCGGATCGTCAAAGCCGGATTTAGAGCTGTCAGCGTATACATTGAGGGCGTTGACAGAGCTCTTATGCCCAGTGTTTAATGCGGCTGCAGAATTGGCAGAGTCTGTGATGAAGGAGTCCAAAGAATGGGTCATGGACATTCCGTGGATAGGGAACTTGTCCATCGCCATTGTGGATTGATACTTCCCATTGATGGATTTATGGGCAATTAACCTCGCTGCCGTAATCATTGGCACGGTCATTCCGTCTCCGATGAATAGAATGATGTTTTTAGTCTTGCGTTCCTCAGCCAGGTCGCGTACAGTCCATGTAGCTTCAGTTTTGCTCCCATTGTTGTAGTGCAATGTAGCCGTGTATTCTCCTGGCTCATATAAAGCAATGCGACGGTATGCCTTGGAGGCTACATTGACTAGGGCAGGCTTTTTGGCATCGCGGGCGAACAAGTCTGTACTGTCGTCAGCTATGCCTATGCCCGTCACGTGACTAATCCTTCATCCGGCTAGAAAGCAAATCCATCCATCGAAGCTCTGTAGCGCGCAAGAAAAAAAACTCCACCTCAACGGCGATCCATTGGACTCCATTTCACAATGCAGGATTCATGTAGAGGCTTAGAAAGTTCATTTTGAATATCTCACGTACCTTCAAAATAGGTGAAGTTCCATTTCTCTAGTTTCGGCTCCTCGAGCTTGAAAAACTCGGTCACAGATACTGCTTCTTCACCCTTCTTTCCGACAGTAAAAGTGAACTGCTCATCTAGAGGTAGTCCAATGGCCTCGGAGCCATTGATCGGCTGGTGCACCTCAAGTCGAATGTCGAAAAATTGGCCAGCGAGGAAGTCAGCCCTGGATTTGTCGTTAGCAAGGGAACTACCGTATTCTTGAATAGATTATGAACGTAACTGGTCAGGTGGGAACACGCAGCCTGTCTTTTAGTTAGCTGAGATGCGTAAGCGTATACACGAAGGAGAACAAATTTACCAAGTGTCGGGCAAGCACCAAGTCTCCTGAATGTCTGCGCAGAAACAGAGCCCACCAAAAGAGCTGCTGCCACGACAGCCGAGCATGTGCACTTCATGGCGAACGCGATTGAGAGATGTACGATTACACAAGGCTCTCAAGGATTGCGATGAGGCAAAAGAATGAAGAGCTGTGTCTGGCACTTTTATAAGTCCAAGCAGGTGCCTGGTGCCGGATTCCTGGAATACACCCTACGTAGTCATGGCATGCACATCAAGCTACCGGGTACTACATTCAATTACCAGGGGATGCTAGTTTGTGGAGAGGAATGCATGTCCAGCCGCCCTCGTGCGATAATCCAGCACTCTTACTGCTTGAGAGAACACATCCAGCGCCATGGACCAGCGCCCAGTCCGCTGGGATGGTCTGGTTATGAGCCAATGTCATCAACCAACGTCTTGCCGAGCTGCCTGTTCGGGATCTGGTAGACAGTTAACGTGAATGGCTTGGCATCACGTTGCGAGCACATGGCATGTGATTGGCTCGACGCCATGCCATGTGGGATGTATTCCCGCGCAACACAGACTTGGCGCATGGTTGGGAAATGGACTGCTCCCCATTGTGCTCAGTAGACGACATCTCTATTCGTCATACTTTCCCGCCTCTCGGCCAGACAAAGTGAGAACAGCTTTCTTGATCCATGCCCCAGGCGGATGTATTGCCGGCGGCGATTGTGGGAAACGACATGGCTGGGCAGTCTGCCAATTTCCGCGGGCTGAAAACCCTCTCTGGGCCCATTCCATCAACCAGAATCTTAGCACTCTGCCGAGACCGAAGTCTGTATCGTGCCACGTTGATTTGTGTTATGGGCAGAAAGACCAGCTGTTGTTTTTGTGGGCTGGTGGCTGTCGCGTGTCTTGCATCCACAAACTTTGCCACCATGCAACGAATACAAGCGCTATCCAGGCACGACATTACCAAATCCAGGGGAGTGGATATAGATCGCATGCTGCAGCGGGAGCCAGGGAGATCCCCAGATCTTGCATCTGAAACAACGATAGCGATGCCCTCGATTGGTGTTCGATGTCGGCTGCCCATCATGGTGTGGCCTTGAATCGGCCGTAGTCTGGGTAGTCCGGTCCGTCGACGTCACCACTTGAGACCCCAATGTAAAACTGTTTACGCAGAGGTACAAAGACACAGCCATGTATTGAGAACGCAGCCAATGTGTTTTGTCACAAGCACCCTCGTATCGCATACTGTCCGAATCTCTGCTGCCAGACGAACTGCAGCCCGCAATACCAGACTCCCGCTTCTGCCAAATCGCGCCTTCAGTCACGCGACGCGTTTCCAAAACCGGACCACGCTCAAGAAGCCTGCCAAAACAAACATGCCGAAAAGAACATCTTATGAGCGTGACGAGCTCGGTCACACATCTGCAAAACGCGCAAAGCAGGTCGATGAAAATCTCCCTTACGATCAAGTCCAGGAAGCACTCGGCGCGCAAGATGAGGTTAAAGACGTGACAAAAGTCGCTCACTGGTTCCACCCCAAGGACCTCCGAATCCAGGATAACACCGCACTACATCATGCTTCGGAGCTTGCGCAAAGCGCCCAGAAACCTCTGGTCTGCTTTTACATCAACTGTCCTGCCGATGAATCATGGCACGGGACCAGTCCAGCAAGAGTTGATTTCATGTGTGAGGGGCTGAAGATTATGCAAAAAGAACTCAAGGAACTAAACATACCATTGGTCTTTGTAGAGTGCGAAGACAGAAAGAAGATTGTGGAGACAGCCGTTGAGTGGCTAAAGAATCACAAAATTTCCCATGTCTTTGGCAACTACGAGTATGAGATTGACGAGATGCGCCGAGATTTGAAGTTGGTCAAGACTTCTGGAAAAGATATTCAAGTGTCTCTTTTTCATGACCAGACTGTGATTGAACCCGGTACAATGACCACATCGTCCGGATCGCCGATGAAGGTATTTACCCCATACCACAAAGCATGGCTCAGCAGACTGCGTGAAGAACCCGAACTCCTTGATACACGCCCTCCACCTGTCGCGAACCCTTCATCTATGAAGAAAGAACTCAAGGATCTTTTCGACACACCAGCACCCAAGCCCGCCAAAGACAAGCAATTCAAGTCGGAAGATGAGAAGAAGAGGATACGAAAACTTTGGCCGGCTGGCCACGCAGAAGGCGCAAAACGCATGGATTCATTTCTCAAACAAATCTCCCATTACGCATCTACACGCTCCAACCCGGCCGCAAACAGTACATCGCGCATGTCCGCCTATTTCAGCGCAGGCATGTTTTCCGTGCGCGAAGCTCTCCGCAAAGTCGTCGACTACAACCGCGGCAGCACTGACTTCACCGAATCCAAAGCCTCAAGTGGCGTCTACAGCTGGGTCCGAGAAATCGTTTTCCGTGAGTTATATCGACAGCACACAGTCTGCGTGCCACACACATCCATGAATCTACCGCAAAACCTCAAATTCGATTCTGTAAAATGGGAAGACGACAAGGAAGGCTGGGAAAAATGGTACAAGGGGCAAACCGGCGAGCCCTTTATCGACGCAGGCATGCGCCAGCTAAACGCCGAAGCATACATGCACAACCGCCTTCGTATGAATGTATCTTCGTATCTCTATTGCAACTTACTTCTCGACTATCGCCGCGGAGAACGCTACTTTGCCGAAACCTTAATCGATTGGGATCTCTCCAACAACACACAGGGCTGGGAACCAAGCTACACCGTGTTCAACCCCGTGTCTCAGGCCGAAAAGAACGATCCGGATGGCGATTATATTAGGAAATGGGTTCCTGAGCTCAAGAATGTGAAAGGCAAGGCTGTGTTTGCGCCGTATGCGAGGTTATCAAAGGAGGAGTTTGAGAAATTGGGGTATCCTAAGCCGCATGTGGATTGGAAAGAGACAAAGGCGAGAGCGATTGATAGGTTTAAGAAGGGTTTGAGGGACGCTGAGGTTTAGATGGGGTTTTGATTGTCGGCATATGTCACGATGAAGTGAATAATCTGAACTCCCCAGATTACATTCTCTCTACGCTAATTTCACGCTGTCGTAATTACATGATAACTATCAAATCTCAGTTGCATTTAATGAAGTCATTGACCATCGCGAAATGACCGACGCTCCGAAAAAGAGAAGATGAAAGAAAGAACTTCCGGCCCCACCCGAAACATGAAGCAGAGCATCCCGCAAGAAACACGCCCACAAAACAAGACACCCGTAAACCTGTTGCTGAGAGGGAGCAGGTGTACCGCTACTCATGCTCAAACTCGTAATCATCTTCGACCTCTTCCTCTTCCTCGTCAACATCCTCCTCGCCCTCATCTTCGCTGTCTTGGTGGTCGCTACCATCGTCTTCCTCGTTGACATCGTCGATACTGCGGAATTGCTGAGTAAACGACTGCAGTTCAGGTGGGATTCTGGCTAGCGGCAGTCGGACTAGTATAGATAGGGTCTTTTGGACAAGCTGATTCTGGTCAGGGGATAGTCGGGACCACGCCGCCGTGCGCAGACTAGGAAGACCAGGAGTCCATGAACAACAGGGACGACCGAGATATGCGCATGTTGTGCAAAGCCTGTCGTTACCTTTGACTTGTACGCATGACCTATCAGGGAAATCGCCACCGTGAAAGTAGCCTTGGATAAGGCAGCAGGTATCACAGTACTTGCGTTGTCCAACTACAGCGCCGCCGAAATCGCCGTAGGGCACGTCGACTCTCAGACCGTATTCAGACTTCATCATTAAAGCCTTCATTGCGTCATTAGTGCGAACATCCCCAGGCAACATTATAATTGGGTCCTGATTCTGAAAGGTAAAGATCTGGTTCACCATGTCTTTCTTGCATTGCAGAACATGTGCTTCTCCACAGATCCTAGGTATCCAGGCGTGGCGATGGTTCGGCTCGGAACCAGTAAGCCACTGAAGAAAGGCGATTCCTTTTACATAGCTTTTTAGGGATCCCGGTACATGAGGGTCTGCCAGCTCAAAAGCATGCCCTGACTGAATATACATACCTCGCCATTTTCCTGAACCGAGGGGATGCTCCCACTCAACACGAACGGCCCAGGAGTTTGCTTGATTCCAGTTTGTAAAAGGGCCAATCTTTGGGAGTCGTGCCCATGCATGAGGGTGGGCAGAGCCATCTTTCCTGACCTCGAATACGAGTTGATAAGGCGACTTTGGAGGGGGAGCGTCCAAACCAATCGTCTTATTCCTTGTTATGCGAGCCCAAATAATCATGAATGTCTTCCATTTGCGATTCTCGACTATTTTTGTTACAACCACTGGTGTCTTTTCCCTCGGACCTGTGATCACGTCTTCATTGGAACGGCGATAATAAGCCATGGGCACAGTGGAATTTCCTTCCTTGATATCCATGTCTTCACGAATGAACAGGAACTTCTCAGACTTGGATGCGTACTCGAATATAGGAGATCTGCAGTTTGCCCCGAATTGGATGCCGCACGAATCAGCCCCTCGTTGAAGCATACCCTGCCATCCAGTAATGCGAAAAACTTCTTTTGACAGGTCGTACAAAAACCTGGCAGGTTCCATGAAGGCTACCATAGACGGGTGCTGGCTCTGTCGATCAAGTAACTCTGGTCGATATGTTCCCAACATACAAATGAACATTTGCTCGACAAGATAGTACAACCCCGAATCAATGGTATCTGGGAGGACGCACAAGGCTATCATATGAAGGACCTCGGAGTTTCTCGTAAGATCGCCATAAATGCTTATGTAGTTGCTCTTATGGGCGGCGTTTCGTTTAGCAAAATCCCTTGAATGACCAACGTATCCGTAAGACGATCGAGATTTCCAATGATATCCTACTTGACTCCCAGTCTTATGATACCTAAGATAAACCCCACCATCCCGAGATGATTGCGTGTCCTTGATATGGTATCGGCTTGCGGAGACTAGATCCCGAACCGAAAATGGGCGACCAGAAGAAAGGATCTCATAAAGGCCGGCTGTCTTGATGCCAGCGACAATTCTATTGGTAGCAACAGCAATATGCAGCTTTTCCATAAATTCTACGAACTTCAGTGGTACGGTAGCTGGAGGTGATTCGCGAATCGCTGTTAGGAAACGGGTGATAGTCTTCCCAAGAACGGTTGTATCAGGAAGAGACCCATTTACCCAACTTCGCTTGTCGAAGTTGTGGTGACCTGGTAATTGAACCTCTATGCGCCAATTGTTCATGTCGGTCTCCCACTGCTTGCCCTTCTCAATGCAAGAGAGTGGCACCCAACGATGAGTATTGCTGCCTTGTTCGGTAACACCTGCGATATAGACGCAGCCCAGTTGTCTCTTCTCATCGACTTCCTTCAGCTGACCTTGCATTCCTGCCTTGTACTTGATCCCGCTTCTCTTATCCTCGAAGTTTTTGATGACTCGAAATCCGTGCGTGGGTTGCTGTTGGCGATGCGGAGCAACATTGATGTCCAATGAACCCCCATGGTTTACGTTGTGCCAGCTCGCTGCTGGAATGCCATCGAATATGGTGTAGGGATTGCCTTTAGGAACCCACGCCATGGTCGTTTTCTGGGGCACTCGACGCTGTATTTGAATCAGAGAGACTGAAATACAGGAAACAAGAACGAGGGTATGGGTGGAAGCGCAAGTACAGAAAGTAGGAGTGGAAGTAAAGGTAGGAGGCGGGGGCAAAGGTCAAGGCGGGAAGCGAGAGCGGTGATTAAGGTGTAGCTCAATTTCAGATCTGGCTATTTGGGCACTCAGGCCGAACGTAAGGAAGAAGGGAAAGGGTCGTTGTGATTGTGGTTGCTCAAATTCAGTGTTGATAAAAGGGCAGAGAGGATGTGGGAAGGCAGCAGAATATGCGGTATCAAACGGCTGGGCTGACGCAAACGCAAACGCAAACGTGAGTTGTTGTTGCGTGCCCGCGTGGTAGATACACCTGCCTACCTACTGCTAGTTTGTGACGTTTGCCTCATTCACCGTGGCAACAGCGCGTTTGTTGAGACAATGTTTATAAATTGATGGCAGTACAATAAACGCTGGGAATATTGTCTGTTACTAAAAATGAACCAGAATTGCAGCGCTGGTGACTGCTTGTCTAGCTGACAGAATTCTCTCAATACAAATAAGGATTATATAGCACAAGCAGTGAATCAACCTAGTTTGCAACCAGTATCTTCGCGAGCAAACGGATTGAGTGAGCGCTCAGGTTCCTGCCTGCAAATTGAGTCAGAGTATTAATTTTTGATTCCTTTCTATCAAAAATCCTGCCTTCTCTCTACTTCGTCGGAGACCCAAGTCTGGCACATTTAGTGCCACATGCCCTGCACTCTTCAAACTTTCCAGCACCCCAGAATCTTCTATTTAGTTCTCTGCCCCTCAAACACCTCATTCTGATCAGTTTGCTAGTGTTGAAGTAACGGATAGCATTTTGCCTCGAGATGCAGTCGACTGGATATTAGTGTAGAAGTCAGTATCAGAAATGCAAGACCGGTTCATCCTAGCTTCTTACTAACTCTTCTCAAGAGTAACCCTATCAATCATTTCGCAATATTACGCTCATAGCCTTTTCATGGCTTCCTACGTTCCTGTGGATGATCCTTCAAAGCCCGGTATGGTGCAAGGAGGTGATGCCAGAGACGATCACGTCAGTTGCGTAGATACGGCCCTGTCCCTCCGAATTGACTTACAGACCGGGTCGTGAGGCAGAAACCAAGCGGCCCATGGATATACATGATACACTTTAGGGATAATTCCATTCCTGGTCAAAGGAATGGACAGCTTGGATTCCCACTCTCTCCGGAGAGACTCGGGAAGAACTCAAATCCCGTCATACATATGTTCTGTATTTTACCTAGCGAATTTGCTACAATCTGAGAGTTACTTGTCTACTCGTCGCCACCATACTTCGCAATAAGACTTTTCATGATTCCTGCTGCTCCACTGCGGTAACTTGCCCCAAACATCGCATAGTGATTGAGGTGATGATACAGCTCATACAGTTGCACTCGATCCTCATACTCGCTTACTGGCTCTGTCTTGGGACACAACTGATGGTATTCCTTCATGAAACTGCCGCCAAAGCCGCCAAACATTTTCATGATGCCAAGCTCGAACTCACTGTGAGCATAGCAGGCCGATGAATCATAGACCACGTCTTCCACCTCTCCTTTATCGCTGCCGATGCTGCCCATGCTCGCGTTTCCGCTCCACAGATCCCCGTGAACAACCACGGGCGTTACCCGCTGGCCATTATTCAGGCGGTCGTCGCCAATCAAACGTGGGACAACTTTGGTTGCGGTCTGCTCAACAAGCTTTCGCAGGTCATTGTCTTTTCTGCCGCGCTGCTCTGCATGTCGGATAATGAACATGAGGCGATTCTCGGCATAGAATTCGGCCCAGCTCTCTTTGTAGCTGTTTTCCTGTGGTGTCTCGCCACAGCATGTTGTGACAGGAAAGCCAAACACGGGCATGTCGTATCCGTCGGGTATAGGAGCGGGTGTCGTATGCAATTGCGCAAGCTTGGCTGCTAGTGATGCCGTCTTGGACGATCGGGAGGCCGAGAAAGAGTTGAGATAAAGGAACTCAGTCACTAGGAACCATTTGGAAGGTTGCGCTTCGAACTGTCCGTAACCGAAAGACTGCGGACAAAGCGTAGGAACGACTTTGTGGATGGCCTTTAGAGATGCGTCTTCACCTTTTCAGGGTGCTGTCAGTCTACTTGTTGGCTAGCCTACGACCGCCAGATGGGCGGCACACACCTGCAAACATAACTTCAGCGGCCTTTCCACTTCCCGTCTTCATGAAATATGCCTTTTCTGATCCATCGTCGAGCCGGGATACTATCTTGGATGTGGACGCAAAGCTGCTGCCCCCAGCGGATGAAACCGTGGTCCCGTCAGAGTTCAAGCCAAGAAGTTTGACAACTGCTGGGTCGACCTTCATTATGGCTGTATTTCACTGAGTGAGATGGCGCGAGCTTGAACAATGCCTCAGTATGTAATAGAAGTGGCATGCGGGCGTTGGGGTGTGGGCCCACGGTGACGTCAGCCACGTCCCATTGTGACAGGGTAACGTGGGTCGAGGGGTAGAAATGGGGATGCTGGACATGTTGTTTTCAAGTTTGTGATGAAGCTGGTGTATGGATGTGGCATACTGACGCTCCTTTCAAAACTATGAACCTGTTACAAACAAAATATGAAGCTGTCCATCACAACTTCTCCTTGGTAGCTTCGGCCACACCGTCTCTGATATCCAATTCCGTGTCAGCCCTCGCCTGCTTGGGCTTAACTAGCGGCACACTATCTTCCATCTCATGTTGCACCACCATTCGCTTTCCCTTGACCAACTGGACAAGCATATAGTTCATAGCACATTGAATACCCAACTCCTCGCCCCTCTTCACTACCCACCCATTGATGTAGTCTATCTCTGTCTGCATACCCTTTCTCGTGTCTGCCAGCATACTGCTCACATTGTCTCTGGTAAGATTTGCTACCGAGACAACTACAGTTTCCAGACGGCCTGGATCGAAACGCTGTTGGACATTCGGAATGTATTGGAGTTCAGGCAGAGAGCGAATGACGAGGCTGATTTCTGAGAGGAGAAGACGCATTGTGCGCGTCAAGGCGTAGTTGTTCAGAATAGCGCCATTTCGTGCGTCAAGAAGCACGGTCAAAGGGTTGATGATGCAATTGACTGCAAGCTTATCGAGCTGCATTTGCAAGAGATCAGGTGGTGAAAAAGACGTTGCGCTGAGCACTGGTGTGCGGAGAAGAGTGCGCAGTAGATGACGTTGGTTTGGTGTAAAGGAAAACTTTGCGCTGCTTGGAGGAGGGTATTCGGGATTGAGTTCATCAGGAGGACTGGGATATACTGGCGCACTATCTTTTTGACCAGTAAATTTCGGCTTGGGCATGTAGGGTGAGTCTGGCTGGCGGTCTCGATCATGTGGCAATATACCCAAGGAGATGGTTCCGAATCCAGCATGAACAGTCGTAAACTGGCCATTTGGAGAGGTGTGCATTCCGTGTGAATTAATGCCCAACATGTAATGTGGTCTTGTCGCTGGATCAGGAAAGATTTCTCGATTGACCTCTTCAACAATCCCCATTCCATTTTGCAAGAATAAAACGACAGAATCCTTGTGCAGTCGATGCTTCACAGAGGAAAGGCCTTGCAAGACATATGGTGCCTTGGAGCAGATTATCAGAGAGCTTATGGGCTCCGTTGATTCTCCTTCCAAGATAGTAACGTCTCCTGCAGTCTCCGTAGACGAAGCGTCCAAGCCCACCTCTTTCCCGTGATATCGTATGCGCGGTACAGCCAGTTCAGCGTCGTATCCTTCTTGCACCTCGACATCTCCGTCGGTAATCAAGGTCAATTTTTTCGGCGAATCATTCCACTCCTTCAGCCTCTCCCATCGCGGAAATAACAGCGTCACTGGAGGGGGGTTGGGAATTCCCCGAAGAGCATGTGCAATGAAGCTTCCCACATTTCCAATGCCCATGATATGAATTCTCCGGTCCAGTACAGGCTTGGTGCGATAGAAATCCACGGTATTACGAGAAGTTGGCGAAGCGGCGAGTTCGTCTTTGCTGCAAAGAGTGAGTTTCGCAAAACGGCAAAGTTGCTCGTACCACGTACACATCCAGCAACTTGTCCTCCATAGCTTCAATATACTCCTTTTTCCAGCTTGTCATGAGATTCCTCGAATGAGTGTAAGCCGCCCGGCTTGCGCAATTGCTACCGATGTTGCATCTTGCGCGTATATTAGGTATCCGAGGCCGCAGCCTGGGGATGAATTGCGAGACGAAGAAGGAAGACAGCTTGATCGATTTTATGTTCCCATGCGTAGTAATTCGGCTCGATTAGCAGCGAAGGCGGGGTATTACTGGGATCTTGTGAAGATGGGTGAATGACGCTATGAGAGATCGGAGGGTTACTAACTGGAGATTCAGAGTCGGAGCTAGCGCGGGTTTACGCACGGCCCTTTACTTTTCTCTAAACTCAACTTCGCGACCATACCGTACCAAGCACAACACTATAGCCCCAATAACTCCGTCGCGCATAGTCGCAACCCATCGTAGCTCCATCACCACTGTTGCGACTCTAAATATTCAATCATGGACCCGCAAATCGATCTCCCAGACCTGGTAGAAGACCTTGAAGTCGACATTGACGAGCTCACCACCGCTCTCGAACCACTACTCTCGAAACCGCTCTCGACAACCGCATCATCGCTCCCCCTCCTCGACAAAGCCAAACTCTACTGTCTCGCTGCATATGCCATTGAGTCGCTTCTCTTCGCCTCGCTCACTGCATCCGGCGTCAATGCAACCGAACACGCCATCTTCAAAGAAATCGCGCGTCTACGCCAGTATAACAGCAAAATCAAGGAAATCGAGGATCGCGGCATAAAAGGAAGTGCAGAGGGGCGAGCGCGCCTCGATGTCGCAGCTGCGGGGCGCTTCATCAAGCATGGGCTATCAGGCAACGACAAGTACGATTTAGAGAGGCAAGAGCGTATGGCCAAGGAACGGGCGCGGGCACATCTCAAGGCACAGCAAATTAACAAGAAGTTTGACAACGAGGGAAAGGAGGTGCAGAAGGGGCAGAATGTAACGCCCAAGAAGAGGGGAGCGGAGGAACAAGAAGAAGAGGATGGCTCAGATGAGCAAGTGCTCGAAGGAACGGAAGAAGAACCAGCAGTCAAAAAGGCGCGTGTGCAAGACGGAGCCGAAGCCGATACACCGCAACCCAAGAAACGCGGTCGACCGTCTAAAAAAGATAGAAAGGCCGAGGAAGCGCAGACTCGCACGACAAGGAAACGTAATACGCGTCTTGCGAATCAGGAGGCAGAAGAGAACCAAGAAGAAGAAGAACAAGCGCAAGAAGAAGGAGATGACGATGACGATGAAGAAGTAGCAGATCAAGCGCCAAAGACACGCAGCGAGACGTTTACTGCGTTGCTTGATGGCTCGTTGAGTGAGAAGCACAAGCAGAAAAAGGCAAAAGGGAGGGGAGGCAAGAAGAATGGTAAAGGGCGAGGGAAGTAAACCATTTGTGATTCGCTTTTCCTGTCTTTCTTCTTCTTCTTCTTCTTCTTCTTCACACAATGCATTACTTCAAAGCGGGATGTTTGCATGAATTCAAAACATGGCTGGGTGCTTGTTAACAAAAACTCTTCTTTCTTCAAAAAGTAAACAAAGGAGCACAAGTGAGATGAAATAATAATATGACAAGTCTGTTGTCTTTGTAAATTTGTCTTCTTCTTCTTTTCCTCCTCTGCCTTGCTGTATAGATATAGTACACTAGATGGAAATAGCGCGCGGAAACCCGAGAGATTGCAACTCATCGGTGTTAACAAGAAAACAACAAAAAAAAAGCCAACGACTTTGTGTCTCCTTTGCTCTGCTCTCCATCTCTTCTTCTTCTTCTTCTTCCTCCTCCCCCCACTAGTCGCTCCCGCCCATGCCTAGTTGTAAATAGAATGTTTGTAACAAAAGGTTGGTTGACAACAGCAACAACACAAAAACTCCTGGTATATAACGCCCAAGTTTCCCCATTTCCCTTTGTCCATTTCCATATCCATCCATCCATCCATCCCATTCCATGTCCATCCCATTCAAGTCCTGGTGCCAAGACTTACGGCCATGTCAAAACCGGAGCATTTCCTTTTGCATTGCCTTTCCTGTCTCCCCTTCCGGTTTTTTATGACATGCTACAGAACCATGCTCCACAAGTTGTTGAAAAAAAAAAACAAGAATGAAAAAAAACGCTGCTATTCTCTCGTTGAATCAGCATATCTATCGTCGTTTGCTGCCAATCCAGACGGACTAATGATGACGCGGTTATTGATTGATAGGAAAGTGAATTATTAGTATAGTTGGTGCCAAACCATTCTACTCAAAAGCCCCTGGCATAGAGCCGGGAATTCTCAAACTGAGTCGGTCCTCCTTTTTCCGTACCTGAATCGGGGGTGGAGGAATGGACGACGATCGCTGACGTCGTAGCGGCGGCTGCTCGGTGACCCACTTTGTGTCGAGCGATTTGCGAACCTCCTTTCGGAGTTGAGCTTCGGCTTGTTGCTCAATCTTTTCTTCTTCGTCTTGGCTCAAAGCGGGCGTTGGCTCAGCATTCTCCTCTGCATGCTGAATTGGGGTCGGCTTAGAATCAAGGCCTGCGTTTCCGCTGGCATCCGCCGAAATGACAGCCTTGCCAATGGAAATTCGCTTCAGTGTTTCATCTCCCTTACTCTGAAACGGATCTTCGTCGCTCTTGCTTGGCTCGTTTGCGGTCGCTGGGCCATTGACCGTGATATCTCTAGGTTCGAAAGATATTTCGCTCTCTTCACTCATTCTCTGCTCAAGTGAGGTGTCACTGTTTGCAAATGTTGGGCTCCTGGGACTGTCGCGCAGAGGAACAAAAGACGGAACAACACCGCCCCCAATTCTCGTCCAGAACATGCGCTCCCGTAGACGAACGCTCTCTTCCCAAGCCGCTTTTCTCTCTTCGTCCGTTTCAGCCCGCCAATGGCCAGCAGCGACCATGCGCAAGAAGCCAATATAGTCGCATGTGGCACGGACTCGGCCTAAGCAATAGTCGCATAGTGGGTACCGCTGAGCATCCTCCGTATCGGATGGTTTGAATCGAAACTTGCGAGCATATTGCTCACCCGGCCTCGACTCTCCGCAGAGCGAGCAAGGGAAAATTGGGACTCGAAATCTCGATGTAGGTGTGGGGTTGGGCTCAACAACCAGAGAACCGGCACTGATACTGCCGAGAACGGTCCGGCGTGCCATCCATGATAATCCAGGTGCGAGATCCAAACGCAATGTCGGTTCAATGTCTTCTACTAGAGCACGCTTGTAGAACTTGTCATCCTTTAGATTTGGCATTCCTGCAGTGGAAACATTTTCGCGGGGAGAATTGTTGATTGATATGGATGACTTGGACGGCAGGGAAGTGGTGGAGCTGTTGGTCAGGGAACCCAGTCCGAGGACAGTCAGGCTGCCATAGTTGCCGCTCGAGGCGCGACTTGCTGGGGCTGATCGAGCGCTAATCTTGAGCATGTCTTGAAATTCCTTAAATGCTGTCAGGTCGGAACGGAGCACGGGATGAATCAAATGCGAAAAGTGAAGGGGGTGGTCAGGGCTGATTTCGTCTGATCCGGGCGTGCTGGGTGTTAGGTTCATGGCTTCGAATAGTTTGCTCATCTTGTCCGCGGGTGAAAGGCCTGGTGTCGAAGGAGTTGTCGTAGTTGTCAGAACGTGGCTTTCGTTGTCGTCGCCATGTGAGCTCATCTTCTCCACGACACCTTTGAGATCCTGCAGCTGGTCCTGGAGAGAATGCTGGAGCACCTCTGCGTCGCCCAGTTGCTGTCGCAGCTGTTCCCCGCGCTTCTCGGAAGCCTCGGTTTCTTTCCGTGCGGCTGCAACCATCTGTTCTCGTCAGTCGTGACGCGTCACTAGCGCATGCAATGCGACTCACCACATTCGCCTCCTCAAACAAAGCAGCTGTCAAAGCCTCGACCTCGCTGTCTGTTTTGCGCTTGGCAGCCTCGGCCTGGGCCCTCCGCTTGCGCTCTTCTTTCAGCTCATTGGTCATTTGCTTCTCCATCTTGTCATAAACAACCTTTTCCACCAAGAGACCTTTTGCAATCTTATCTTCGTGCGCCTTGACCTGGGCTTCCAGGCGCATAAGCTTTTCCCTCGCAGCTTCCAGCTCGTGCCTCGTCTGCTGCAACGAGTCGTCTAGCATGGTGGAGTGGTTGATAGCGTTGATGAGCTTGGTGCTAAGGGTTGACACCTCCTGACTAAAGTCGGGATGGGAATCGTTCGAGTCATGGCGCAAAAGGGAGGGTTGGGGAGTCGCTGAGCGCGGGTCGGGAATCGTGTTGATGCCTTCGCTCTCGGCTTCCGACTGCGACTGCGACTGGGCAGTTTTGGCGAGCTGGGGCGTGGAGATGGAGCGGGTGACATGGTTCTTGGGCATGGGAGATAGGGAGCGGAGGCGCGAGGGCGTCATGGCGCCTGAGCTGTGGACCCAGGGAGCCGAATGTGCGATGAAGCTGTGTTGAGAGGGCATGTCAGTAGAGTACTTGGGCAGCGGCGGTAGGAACAGGGCTGTGCAGGACAGGACAGGCAAACATACGCGTACTCGGCCATGGCGGCTGGGTACAGAGTGACGTCGGTCCTCTGTTCGGATGTTCAAAACATGGCAGTAGCAGGGGTGGCGGTGGTGATGCAGGTTGTAAGTGGGTGGTGGGCGGTGGTGGGCGGAAGGCGCGCGACGCAGCGACGGAGGGCGGGCAAAGGAGTGACGACAGGCGCGAAGGGGGGTGGATGGGACTACAGCGCACACATTGAAAGCCAAGCGGGTCCTGCAACAGTACAGGGATGGAGGGAGTGCGGTGGTGGGGAAGAAGAAGAAGATGAGATGGGGTGGGATGAGAGAGAGAGAGAGAGCACACGGGCACAGCAAGGAACGGCGAGGCGGGTGAAGGCCAGGTTTGGGGAATCAATAGGCGGCTGGAGGATGACTACATTGGAACGGGCAGGTGGTGGTGGCTGCGACCGGAGCCACGGTCGGCAGAGGCGGCGCTTACGCTTAGATCACATGCTGCCAGGCTCTGACGACGCCCACGACGCCCGACGAGGCCGCGAGCACTGCCACACACGCTGCACGCTCTTCGTCGGGCCTGGCCTTGCATTCCCACTGTGCAAGCACAAGCCCTACGAATGCACGCTCCCCTTGACATCATCGTGCCGCCCAGCCAAGCCCGGCTCGTCCATCCTCGCCCATTGCCCATGCCTCCTCCACGGCCGTGGTTCACGCAGCCCAAAAACAAACCAGACCCACTTCTCTCTTCGTGTCTGTCAGTCTGTCTGTTTGTCCCCCTCTCTGTCTCTCAAACAAGAATAAGAAAACAACAACAACAACAACCACCCTGGCGAGAATCAATCGCAGACGTCTCATCCCTTGCTCATCGGCCGAATCCTGTCTTGGGTTTCCTCACCTATTTATTCTTTTCCTTCTTCGCCGTGCTCTCGTCTGTTCTCCGTCTCGCCTTCGTCCGTGTTCCCTCTACGAGCCGAGCGCCACCGTCCGCCCCTCGTGCCCACTAACTTAGCATACTGACTACGAAAATACCTCTCTCTCTCACTTCATGGCCCCTGCACTCGCAAACCACGCTCGCAAAGGGGATACGCATACTCCATTTCGAAACTACTAGCTTACATCCTCATCCCCAAAAGGTTGCTGGTTCAACGCGGCAAACGAAGAAGAAGGAAAAAAAAGAACAAGGAAAGAAAAATGACAGACATCATCCCGTGCAAAAAAGCCTCGCACTTGCCCAAAGGACAAAGCAGTCCACACGAGTCCACAAATGCTTCAATAGCCTGAACAAGCCCAATCAAAAGGCCACTGATAGCTTCCCACCATCCAACCCGCCTTAGACAATCCAGACTATCCTCGCCACAGAGACCCTTTTGTAGAACATGCAACAACCATAAAACGTATCCAGGCCGTTAGTCATGCCCCTGGTGCTTTTTTTCTCCTGATATCATGTTTCTTGTCCCCATCTCTGCTAGCCTACCATCGCGCGCCTTTTCTTTTGCCCTGCTACAACCTGCGCCTCTTCTTGTCGCCAGCAAGTCCAAAAAGCCAGAGTCGTCAAAAGGTCGCATCGTCCGCCACGGAGCGTCGACCGCAGTCTCCCTTTGCATCGCGCGCAACGGTACTCGAATTACAAAGAATGAAGGACAGGACTGTGTACAAATCGTCAAAGGCCGTCGGAAAGCCAAAGAGTGGGTAACGAAATCGAGATCGAGTATATGTTTCGCGTCGTGAGGCATCGGACTCGGGGGAGGGGGGTACCACTGCCATCATCTAACGGCGCCCAAACCTGCTGCACAAGAAGTTGGTATTGATTCATAATGAGTAGAGCAGCCACTGCCTCTAGCGCTTTTTGCCGCCAGACGCAGGTCTACCGAGATTGGGGACATACTTTTGTTTCTTCTCTGCAGGCTTGAGAATCTGCAGTCATTTGTCAGCACTTTGCATTAGGTAGATGCCGCACACACATTCTCTCTCATCATAGGCTTACCTGGAACGAGCACAACAGACTCTCGTCGACGCTCATCATTGCGCCTGCATTGTCGAATTCACCACAGTAGTTGGGCGCACTGAACAGTGTTACGAGCTGACGCTTAGAGAAGAACTCATAACCGTCTTCTACAACTTGATGCGCACGACAAATCAGGTCCATGTCGTGCTTTTGCAGGAAACGAGACACAACGTCAGGCCCAAACGTAAAGCTCACACCACGGTCGTTCTCACTCCATCCCGTAATGTCCTTGTCTGGGTCGGACCACAGCAGATCGCACAAAAGACCGCAGTCGGGAATCTACAGAGGCTTGTCAGTGTGCATGTCCTAACAATTGGCTCGACACGTGCGTGGATCAAAACTCACGTCGGTAGGTCGCATGACGCGCCTAATTTGCTCCATTGAGTTTAGATCTGGGCTCAGGCCACCGTGCATGGTGAAGATCTTCTCGTCAATAATGGCAGCAATGGGCAGGCAGTTGAAGCAGTCGGTAAAAGTCTTCCACAGCTTGATGTTGTATCTCCGTTTGCACTCGTCGTAGAATCCGTAGATGCGGTTGATGGAGGCGCACTCGTGGTTGCCACGCAGAACGAAAAAGTTCTCGGGGTACTTGATCTTGTACGCGAGGAGGAGGCATATCGTCTCGAGCGACTGCTTGCCACGGTCGACGTAGTCGCCGAGGAAGAGGTAGTTTGCCTCTGGGGGGAAACCGCCATACTCAAACAACCGTAGCAGATCGTAGTACTGGCCGTGGATATCTCCGCAAATCTGATGCATGCAAAAGTCAGTAGGTGCTCTGAAGCCAGACACTGGGCTTCGCAGCACTACGCGTTGTGACTGACCTTTATCGGTGCCTCGAGCTCGAGCAGGATGGGCTGTGAGATGAAGATTTCGCGAGCCTTGGTGCACAGGTAGCGGATCTCGGTTTCGAGCAGCTGGACCTGCTTGCCGGGTCTGCTGCCGCGGACCTCGAGCAGGCGGTCTATGATAGAGTCCAAGTCCACCTCGGTTTCGGCCATAGCTGTGACTTGCTACTGGCGCTGGGTTCGGTGGCTGAAGGTGCAAGGAAGAACCTCGCGTGGGTGGGTGAGGAAGATTTGCGCGTGGCACTGGCGAAGGCTTTGTACGGAGGGCCTTTTTTTTCTCTCTCTCTCTCTTCTCTCTTGCTGCACTGGCCGTGTTAGCGGCGCTCTAGCCGTCTGTGTTTGGCAGGTCTGTGTGTTGGTGCCGTGAAGCCTACGGAGAGGCGGCAGGAGCGTGTCGTGGACAGCGACGACGACGACGACGAGGGCGATGACGCTGGCTGGGTGCCGAGCGATGCATCGCGTGCGGCTGCAGCAAAGGGGAGGAAGGGGAGGAGAGAGTGTCACGTACCTCTGGTGTCAACGAATCGGATGGTTAGAGTGGCAGACGGGTGCAGGCTGGTGCCGTGTGGAGAATGGCTCAAAGCCCCTCAAGAAGTGCCTGTTGGCAGAGCTGGGATCACGCGACGGGTGGGGCGGCTGCAAATTGCGCTGGTCAATTGTGCGTGGTGATATGGAGATACCTGTGTGGGCTGCGCGGTGGGCAGTCGAGCGCGAGGGGAGCGGGGGCGCTGAGGCGCTGAGGCGTTGTTATGGGCGGGAGCCTGTCGAGTGGGATGCTGGGAGTGACTTCACCGCCTGGAGGAGCGGGGGGTGGGCAGACAGGCGGGCGACGGACGACAAGAGTAGGCTGCTGTGCGGGCGAGGAGCGAGTACGGCTGGTCTGCAGTGTCGGGGCTTGGTGGCAAGAGACGAGCAGGCAGTGGGTTGATGGTAGGTAGGCCGGGTTGGGTTGCGGTGGTAGAGAGGATCACAACGCCCGAGTAGTTTTGCAGAGCAGGCACGGTTTCAGACCTAGGCCTGGCTTGGCGCAAAAGGTGTGCTAGCCCAACAGAGACGCGCGTCGGGGCTGTGGGAGAGCAGCGCAGCGAGCCATGATAACAGAGGGCCGCTCCCTCGCCCACCACCCACGCCCATACCCGCACACCAACACCAGTGCCAGCCTCTGCGCCGTCAGACGCTGACATGGACACAGGCCTCAGCTGCCCGTCCCAGGCCAGGTACCGGGCGTGGCCAGCGTCGTCGACATTGCACCTGACCGGCTGCAACTGCCGCTAGCACACCACACACATGTCTAGCCTGCCCTCCTCGACGCCTGCCACAGCGCCACCACCGTCGCCTCCTCGACCGCTCCTCGATTCACCCGCTTGCTTGTCCTCGACCCTTTTGGCCCGTTGGGTACCACTGCCACTCCAATCCGTCCGAAATACGACAGCCCGGTAATGCCATGTTATTAGACAGTCAGCACAGTCTCACTCTAGCCTGCGCCGGTGCCTTGACCGTGCTGCGCTTTTTGGCCTAGCCAGCCTGCCTCAAACCCCCCCCCTCAACCCCCCAAATCCACCTCCCGCTTCAGCCGGCCAAGTTTTCTTTGCTAAAATACTGACCTGCTCATGACATCCGCTGTACATGTATGCACTTCGTCCCGGACCGCCCGTTCACACACTGTTCATGTACGTAGCTCGGGAGCTACCACCAGCCCTAGCCAGCCATCCCAAGGAGCCGGTCTTCGCTCCACGGCCATCCAGAGCATAGATACTTGCATACTTACATACATACATTGCATACCAAGTACAGCCATACGTAGACCTCACTTTGCAAATCACGTGATAGCATCTAGTCCATCCATCCATTCATGCGTACATATCCATCCATTCTCGTGTAGGCCAGAATTCGTCTTCTATTCATGCAGACATCTACCCGAACATGTGCGCTCATTATGCAATAGATCAAACAACGCCCCAACTCTCACTGCTGCCTGCGCCCATGCCTGACGTCGCTTCCTAGTACAAACCCACTCATGTAGAAAAAGTAGGCAAGCGTCAAGTAGAAAAGAAAGCAAAATTGAAATAAAAACAAAGAAACAATGACAGCCCGCGTATTCATGCCAAATCCAACAGCGCAATCCACAAGCACATCCCAGACGCACCAATATTTTTACAGAATCCGACCCACAAACAGCACATCCGCAACATGCTGTCAACCAGAAACTCTCATCAGACCAAGACTTTGACCGGTACAACGAGCGTAGCACATGGCGCCATGCAATCTCATCGTCGCCCGTCGCCCATCCAACGCCTTGCACAAACTTATTAGAGAAATGAAAAAAAAAATGAAAAACAAAGAATAGCCTCCCGTTCACTCTGACCAGGAAGCCATTCCTACGAATCGAATTTGGAAAAAATCTTTTGGGTATCGCAAAAGTGTCGAAATCACATAGGCGTTGGCAATCGAAAATTGCTGCAAGGCGCTTCGCCCCTCGCCCGCCCATGTCTCTCCTGCTAATCGTCTAGCCGTTTAGCCAAGCGTACGCCCAGACACAATACTCTGGCTTGGGGTGCGAGGCAGCGTAGGTTGCATCGTCGGAGAGTTATAACCTCGGTCAGACGGGAAGCTCGTCACAGATGTCGAGTCCCACCCTTCGTCCCCCAGCGCACTCAGCCACGTGTTGCCAAAATCCTGCCGAAGGGCCTCAATCTTCTTCTTGTACAGCTCCTCTTCGCCAACCTCAAAGTCGTCTGCAGATTGTGGCTCTGCTCGCTTCTTCGACGCCGTCGTCGTGTCAATCGGAGGTAGTTGCTGATGACTTGTGTGCGTTTCATCGGCAACCGCCCGCCCGTCTGGGGTAGTCTTCTTGCCTGCATCGCCAACACCCTTGCCCTTGGACGACTCCTCGAGCCGAGGTGCTTCTGCAGCCACGCCGACCGGCTTGGTAAGTTTAGGAGCCTGTCCAATGGCAGTATCTTCATAAGCAAGACTTGTCAGACTCGACTGGGAGGATTGCTGCATCGCTTCATTCTGCGAAAGTTCGACAATTCGTCTCTTGGGGCCCTTCTTCTTCTTTTGGGACTCTTGCCCACTCCTTGCTCCACTCTTGGTGCGCTGTAGTGACCCGGCGCGTTTGAGCAATCCAGGCGATTCAGATGGTGTGTCCACAGCTTTCACCACTTTGGGAGGTACATATGGCATAGGCTGCAAGTCATCCTCAGGTGGGGGCTTCACAACGGGGACTCCCTTCAACTCGGGCGCCCGGTCAACGAGTTGCTTCTTCTCAGCCGTGTTCGGCCCTGTGGTGTCAATAACAATGTCTTCGGTGTAGCCGGGGGTCTTGCGGAATAGATTAAAAATGGTAACTCTGTAGTTGACGTGCGTTTTGCAGAAAGGATTACGGCTAACGTATATATCCGTTATGTCGGGTACGCCAGTGAGGCGCGCCACTTCGGTAGGATCAGTCAATCGATTGTCTCTAAAGTCCACGCGCTCGAGAGACAGAAGGCGCTCAATACCAGCCAACGATGTAAGGCGGTTGGATCGGAGATTGAGAGTTGTAATGGCCGGGAGAGGGTTGCGTCCCAATGAGTGCAGCCCATCAATCATACAGTTGGAGAGATTCAATGCACGGAGACAGGTAAGGCTAGCAAGACTTTCCGGTATTTCAGTAAAGAGATTAGCCGAGAGATCCAGCGATTGTAGTGTGTTTGTCAAGGGAACGAGACTGGTAGCCGGAATGGTAGTCAAAGCATTGTCAGCCAAGCTCAAATGTCTCAAGAACCGCCACTTGGTGGCAGGGAACCAGCCCATAGAAAGTAAGTTTGAGGAGCTTCCTCGTGGAGTGGTGGAGCGCACGCTCGAGCTGGAGCTTCCAGACGATCGGCGAATGTTTGGGGCGCTCGCGGTGCTCCTGCCGTAGACATGCGAAGAGCCATGGCGGGAGCTAGGTGGGCGCGATGGAGATGTACTTCGCTGGCGTTGGCCAGACCTAGTAGAGTTCTCGCGGGTTACTGCCGCCCCCCTCGGGCTCGTGCTCTGCTTGCCGGCGGCAGTGGGCGACGTTGGCGGCGACTCTGATCGAGCGAGCTGAGCATGCTTGGGGGGTGGGCTTGCAGTCGACCAAGGCGTGCTTGTTTTGGCGGAACGTCTGCGACGCTTATCAATATCATCCAAAACGATGTTGATGAGCAGGTCAGCAGGATCTTCAACACCTGCTCGCTTCACAGTCAGACTGCGAAGGTTCTCGGCCAGACGGTCCCAGCCATAGAACTGTCGAAAGTCTACGTCGTGAATCTCAAGTGCTGTGACATTCTTAAAAGCGAATAGGGGAACCGCAGTGTCGAATGGAAACTCTTCATATCCCGCAATCAAACGGGCTTTGTGGTCAGGAGAGAGCCTCAAGCATGGGATCTTGGTAAAGGCAGAATACAGATATCTCAAGTCTTCCTGGAGCTGGGCCTTTTGCTTTTCTGCTTTTGCTTCACTGGTGGATCCGATGCGGAAAGTCGACCAAAGTGAGGACATGCCTGACATCACGCTGCGAACGCTGGACACTGAATGTATGGAGTCGCGATCGGAAGACTTTGTCTTGTTGCGCTGGGCGCTACCAAGGAAGGAGACATAGTTGGTGGGTGAGGCATCGGTGTGAATGTTTTCTAAACGCACGTTCATAGGGCCGACAGGGATGCCCAGATCCTCGAAGCGGGAGAGGATGTAGAAGAGATGATGGGGTGTTAGTGTAAGCTTTGCTGGCTTGATCGACTGCGAAGTAAAGGTTAGAGAGGGCAGCGACAATGCTGCTGCCCAGACGCTCGATGACGACGACGCGGACGAAGGAGGGCTGGCGGGGCCACTGGGCGACGAGGGAGAAGCAATGGCTTGGCCATTTCTGGGGTTTTGGCGCTGCAACTGGAGAGCGTTGGCAAGAGCCTTTTCGTGTGTTCGCACAAAGTACGCCAAGTTCTGGAGCCGTGTCAATGTGTGTCTTTGTTTAGAGCCAGGCATTGCAAGTGTGTCGCACCCTTATGAAGAGCTGGCCATCTTCGGTGTCCATGTTGATAGACTAGCAGACTGTGACTGCATACAGGGCCCGCCGGCTGTGTGTGTGTATACAGCACGACGGTTCTTGGTTCTCTGGGGGGGGAAGGCGCGGAACGGGGGAGGGCGGGAGGCCGTGAGCTTCGGCGAGGGCTGCCCACTTGAAACTTTTGTGCCGCGGGGGAGGAAAATTGGCGAGGCGCCTCCGCTGTGGGACGGGGGCGACCTAGGGCCTGGGACCAAGTTAGCAATGGGCGATGGGGGGAGGGAGGGAATGGGTAGTGACTGGAGGCGAGCCAACCATGTCTTGGCGGTGGGGGATTGGAGTCGAGGTACGTACGTAGAGTACAGTAGGACTCGGTCGGATGCCCTCGACGGGTGGACCTAGGTAACGAAGCAAACGGCGGCGGCGGGCAGACAGATATTATGCAGCGGCACAGGGGGTGCAGCGCACTGGCGGCAGACGGTAGCACAGAGGCAGCAAGCCAAGCGGCGTGTTCCAGACGTGGGCCAAAGAGAGGTGCAGCAGCAAGTGCAGCGGGCGTCCGGGACAGCGAGATAGTGTGGCCAGGAAAAAAAGGACGACCCGAGACGGGCGCACTGGCCAAAAGTGCAGCTGAGAGGGCAAAGGAAAAAAAATGAAGGGCAGCGCTGATTCGCGCAGGGGAATTTTTCAAGTGTCGAGCGTCAGACTGCAGAGAGGGAGGTGGGTGGACAGGCAGGTGAGGAGGGTGAAATTAGATGGGGTCCGAATCTGGAATGCCGTCCTGTCGCGGCGGCGGGAGAGGAGGGGCTAGCAGGACTTAGTCTGGCGATGGGGGTTTGGTGGTGGGACGGGAGTGGCAGAGTCGAGGATGGGACAGGATAGGGTGTGGAGAGGAGCAGGAGCAGGAACAGGGTGAGGGCTTGATGATGAAGGGCGCGGGGAGGGCGGACGAGAGCAGGCACGGTACGGGCGGTGGATGGGCAGGCAGCGCAGGCAGCCCAAAGGCAGCTGGAAAGGGCATCAAAAGCTGCTCGACACACTGACTGGGCTGGCATGGCAATGGAACCCCTGCAGGCTGTGATTGGATCGCAGCAAGATAGCGCTAGTGAATGTGCCTCTGTGGCATCCCTGCGTTGAATCTGACAGACGACGACCGCCTCTGCCTGCTCACCCTCGCCCTCGCCCTCGACAAGACGCCCTCTCCCACGCTCTGTGTTGCTCTCGCCCTCTACGGCCAATGACCCTGGCGGGCGTTGCGACAAGAACCACAGCCGGCCCTTGCGGCGGTGCGGCCTTGCCGAGCATCTGCCGCCGCATGAGCCTGCTGCTGCTCACTCGGGCCACCATGCGACGAGCCCTGACGCCATATCGCTGCACGACCAGGACACTTTTTTGTTGTCGTGAGCAGCAGCACGCCCGTTGGCTGGGCGTCACACGGCGCGTCACATGAGCAACGCCCCCGGTGGTGTATATGTACATGTATGTGTGTGGAGGGTGTATATACATGTGTGTGAATGTGTGTGTATGTATGTGTGTATGTGTATGTGTGTATGTGTGTGTGTATGTACATATATGCATGTGTGCCTGTATGTATGTATGTATCTATGTCTCTCGAAAAAGACAGACGGACAGACGGACAGACATGCATCCTCGTCGCACACATCGTGTGTATGTACTACTTGCACAGTATGTAGGCACTTACAGCGGCGGATACGATGACCCTGGTGGTTTTGATATAGGCGGCACCGGGTCGGGCAGTCAGTCGACAGGCCCATGTGTGCAGATTCGCTGGACCCTGGCCCGCAGCTTCCGTCGGGGCCAACGTTTAATTGTGTTGGACGGGATTGCCCAACAAGACACATGTGTATCGGCGCTGGCTGCGACGTTGACGGGCGAACTGAGCAGCACGCGGCTTGGGGTATATCAGACTTGGGCCAGCAGTAGTGCATGCTAAGTAGCGCCAGAAGGCCCACTCGACTCCGTCTGCGTCTCCGCTGAGCGGAGCCATCCAGGACACGCCCTCGTGCAGGGAGGCGGCGCACAGACTCGACTGCCCGGCCAGGGTGCCTGCCAGCCGATTTGATAGCAGAGAGCAGATGCTGCGACATGACATCGCATGCCCGCCGCCTCTGCCACTGGCGACGTAGCGACCGACATCATGTCGTGTAGACGCAGAGGAAGCCCATGTCTGGACGCGACGGTTGGCTGCCTCTGCCGACCGCTGCCTCACCTCTCTCGCCCTCACTCTCTGCTCTCGCTCTCGCTCTGTCCCCGTCCAGCGGCTCAAGCCACGTTTTGTGAGGCTGACGTCTTGTTTGGATCCAGCGCCGGCGCCCACCCCCACCTGCCCTTTACGTGACAGCTGGTCGACCCAAGGACCCCTCAACACCATGCCCTCTCCGCCTCGACATTCCTACCACTGTACACCTGCCGCTGCCACACCACCCGCCTTGTCCACCGTGACCACACTCTCTAGCTACTGCCCTACTGCCCTGCCCAGCGCCAATGGCTGTGCCGCCTTGCTGCACCCCACTGGCCTATCGCAACGCCTAACGGCTTCATCCACACCCTGTTCTGCCTGCCCATGGCTTGCCTCGGCTTTGTCTGCCCCTCACCGCCATGCACGACCAGATATGCAAACCATGTGTGTGTGTGCACATGTTCTGTTCGGAACGCCATGGCTAGGATAGCTCCACAAGCCAAGTCGAAGAGGAATACTTACCCAGCAACTGGATTCATGCCTATCCACGTATACTTACACCTACACACACACACACACACACACACACACACACACACACACACACACGGGAATAGAGGCTGCAAATCCCCGGGCCAAAGGGACCAAAGCACAGATACATCAGCCATGATCTACTTACCCTCCGCCGCCTTTCTTTCATCATCGCTATCCCAACCAGCTTGAAAACCACCGCCGAAATGGCGCCATTAGCGGTGAGACCCTATCCAGCCTCAAACCATGCCTGGCGGACAGCCCGCATCGCCTCAGCTCAGACCAGCACCCACATACACTACACGCACACCCGTTGCCAAAAGTGCCGCCCCAACTGTCGCGTCATCCACGTAGTAGCAGTTCACGCGTTGCTGCCCTTCAACACCACCACACCCGACAAACTTTGTGATGCCTGACATCATCGCGCATCTGTCATGCCAAAACTGCCCCATCGGCCCTTTATGCCCCACTACCGAGCTGTCATATTCTCGGAACAAGCCTCTCCCAGTGCACTTATCCGGTCCTCCGCCCCCTTGTAGTCCAAATTTCAATCTCATACTATTGCTCCCTAGCCTCGAGCAATGACGTGCCATCACCTACCATCTACTTGCTTACTTTTGCAATGTAAGCCATGCACTTAGCTACATAGTAAGTACCAAGTACTTGAATGTGCCATGTTGCACCTGCTGCCATTTCAGGCCTGAGAGTAATTGCCCAACCCCGACAATGCCTCGCCACTTCCTTGTACCAGCACTGTGCTTGTGTGCATGAACAAAGGTAGCGTTGCATGCCTTTGGAGAGCCAAAGACGAATCGTCGGCGGTAGCGGCGGCGACGGCGGCCGGACTGGTGTTGGCGCTTCCTCCAAAACGGCTTCGCTTGTTTGTTCCAAGGGTTGGCTTCACACTCTCACCACCATGGCAATTGACGCGCTCGAGACATGCTGAACTAATTAACATTCATCTTCACAGCAACGAGGAAAATCTACTCATGACTTGTAAACCCAAAACGACCCAAGCAATTCATGCTACTATGGTTTCGCCATTGTCGGCGGGAAGGCCCGTTCCAAGCTCATCTCATCGTCGGATGATCGGTCAGAGGCCGGGTACGGTTCTTTACTCCCCGAAACATCCCTGAGCTCCGTCGTGCTATGAAATTGCACGTCTTTTTGTACGTAAATGCCATTTACCGGGCTCGCCTTTGTTTTGGTACCGTTTGCCTCGGCCAGCCTTGTGCCTCTGCTTCCGTATCGCATCGCACCATTTGTCGTGTCCTTTGCGCTTGATCCAAGCATGTTTGGCAGCACTCTCCTCATCAGTGGCCGAAGCGCCGGGATGCAGGCACACATTATTCCCAGGCTGGTTTCGATTGTTGAAAGGTATGCAATGGTTGCCATTTTCCATGTTATGTCTCTCCAGTCGTGCCTACCTCCAACCAGCATGTCGAGCCGTACGGCGGAGATGATGCATACACTAGTGTTTGTTAGCACCTCTTCACAGCTGCACATGAACGCCTGTCACTGACCCCAAGCCCATACACATAACAACTATCAGGTACGTCTTGCGCACCCAGTTGATTTGCAGCCCAAGCACAGGCTTGATAGGGATGAGAAGAATCAGGAAATCCGTCACCATGTTGACAATGGCATTAAGTGCAATCGGTCTGCCTACTGTCAGCAACAAAGCCCAGATCCCCGTCGTATGTACACATGCTAATGCACCATTGGCTTACATGTCGTCGGCGATGCAGTTTTCTGGCGTCAGAGTAGTAATCGACGCATACGTACAGGTGCATGGTGTAAATGCCCTTTGAAAGTTACTTCATCAGTCTTGACCTTGGCTCAGTCTCCCCCACAACTGCAACTTACTGCTGCGCTATCCCCCATAAAAGAAGCAGCCCAATGCTCCACTGCGAGATGATTCGCATTACTCTGCCCGGGAAAATGTGACAGTACTGGGTGAGAAGCGAGATTTTGGTCGCAATCTGCGCTGCGTTATAGACTGCCGTCGCAGCCAGCACCAACTGCGTCGGGTCAGTATCAGATGCATCGACTGACTCGTCTCCGACGTGGCTTCTTCTTACCCGGTTGAAGGTTGGCAATTTGTCCTGTACATACTCAACATGTTGTCCTGCCCCACCAGCTATCACGATTCCGAAATTGATACCGGACTGCGCAAGGCTCAGAGTGTGTGCTACCAAGATCATGTAATCATCGGGCCCGACAAATCGTAGTATCACCCTCCTATCCTGCTTGTTAGACGGCCACGCTGCGGGTCTCTTTGGTCGGTTTTAGTCACCTGGTGTAGAGTCGAAGGGCTACGCAAAGGCTTGAAAGGACTGTAAAGACGGCGACAATAGCAAGAGTAATAGGAGCCTGGACGAGATTAGTGCCCTGTATGTTTGCACCGGTGGTAGGCTTTTCCTTCTTTCACGTACTCGAGTCTCTCTACTAACCGCATCTTGGGCGTCGACCATGATGCTCAATCCAGATTGAACATGCACGTGGTAGTATGTTGCGCAAACAAAATTGATTTTAGATCGGATGGCTCAACAAGGCACAGGGGTTCCTGCAGTCTTAAGGTACATACTGTGTACGGACTTTCAGAAATCCGAGATCAAATTGGCAAGTACCCTTCTGACAAGGGCTCTTCGAGACCTTGTATGTCGCGCCCGTGACTCGCCATGCAAACGACATCTCGGTTCCATTGCTTAGTAGTAGCCAGTGATACAACCACTCGTCTAATGCGCACTTGGTTAGCCATGTGCGCTGTTTAGGACACATGCCCGACACATAAGCTGACCGGCTCTTGTCCGAACAAAATGTTTAGCGGCGTCTTCACAGCTTCGTAATAGATGAAGGTTGCCACTAAACCTGCCATACCCAGCACGCTCATCTTTAGTACGGGGCATCGTGGCCTGTGCGTTGTTCCTAAAAAAAACCCTTGCAAAGCCGAAAGTTCACCTTGCATCGTCGTTATCCATGACTTTTTCCCTATAGTAAGGTACATATATGATATAAAACTCGACGTTCGTCCATCTGCCACTTGGTCATTCTCCGTGCTGTGGTGCAATGTGTTTCGGCTTCGCTGTCTGGCTTGGAGCGGGTTACGACGCACCACAACCCAAACTCCTTGTCAAGTCTATTCGTTATCCAGGGTGCCCATGTCAGACATACTTGGCATGCGGCTTTTAGTAGCAGCCACCTGCCACCACACTTGCGCCATACAGATGGAGATGCTGGAGAACAATAACTTTCAAAACCTATATAGACAAGCATCAACGCATACACTACTATGCTACATGGCAGAAATAATGTATATGGGCCACTAGCAAGGGGACAATACAGGCCAAGGTGAAGAGTAAGCCCTATACTATAAAAGAGTACTATCTATACTCTATAGAGTTGTGATTATTTAGAACATCTCTGTAATAAATGTGGTTTTGTCATCCGAAGAAGAGCCTAATCTTCATTTTAGCGCGCCCTCACACACATAACTTGTGCCATGTAGCGTTCTATACAGTAATTAGCTAGAGCGTCCCACAGCTTTGATCGACAAGGGTATTTGTCCCTGCTGTCTAACACGACACTAGAGAACATGCCATTAATTAATCACGAATCTTACCGTGAAAGGTCCCGAAATGCTACTCCATGTCTGCAATCACATGTTGCCCAGTCAGTCAGCATTTGTTCGGGCCCATAAATTCCCCCAGGATAAGGAGAACTAAGCGAGTTATAGCAACTGTCGGTAGCTCTCGAAATTGGCACCCTGACCCAAACCTAAAAAAAAACAAAGTAACTTTGACCATCGCTAGGAACGCGCTTTAGTTGGTACCGAGCTCTTTTGCTACTCTATTATCATTGGCAGAGCATGATATGTCGGCAGGTATGGCGTACGTGCTGTGGCGTCAGTAGCGTAGATCGCGCTCTAGTTCGCTCCCCGCCTCCCCGCTGCCCTAGGCCCCGTTTTCCATCGAATTGGCTTCCGCGCTGGATCGCTTTCCCGTTCGCTTCAGCTTGCAGGCCACGCATGCTCCCCTTATCGGCTGTTTGAGACTAAACTGATGTCCATGCAACGTGATAAGAACGACTCGACCTGTGTAGAATCGTTCAGTAGGTACGGCTTCTTGATCGACCAAAATATTTGGATGAAAACTACACTCGCCAAAAAGCGCAATACCAACGAGGTGTAACTGTAGTATAGTAGTAGTGTAACATGAAATATATTTTGGCATATTAATCTTGTACATGAGCTCACATATGTTGACATATATGATAGAATTTCAACTACGTTGTGGTAACGGTAGCTGGTTACACACCACGGCTTTGGTTTAATAGGGGCTGCTTTTATCTGGGTATTTGGGTCGACTAAGAGGGTACGTACTACTGTACCCTGGACGCTTGCTTCCATCTTGCCGCACTCCGTGGGCGACAACTCTACCACGTATGTATTACTCAACGGGCTTTCACCGCGGAACACATGGATTTCATCGAATTCGAAAAGGCGTCATGGCACACAGAAAAAAACATTGCCTAATGCCTGGCTTGGAAATGATCTTTTTTTTTTGCTGCCAGACGAATTAATCAAGGATCACAACTACTACTACGCTCTCCCGTTCAGCTCAGCGGCATGGACCGTGCTAAACTTACATACGTACCCCTCCACCCCACTTCAACAGCATTCTCAAACTCTCACGCCAACGCGTTGAGCAGACGGCAGACGCCACATACAGCCACGCTGAATTACAATCGCAATGCTCATTACGGAAACACACAAAGATGTGCCCACCGAGGCAGGTGGTGACATGAGTTTGCGGTCCTTGTGTGCATTGATTGCGGCAACTCAACTGACGTTCCAGGGATCTTCATCTTCCACCCCACCATTCCAAACTACCCCAAAGCAAAGTTTCCTGGTGTCGTAGTCTTCTCTGAAATTTATCAAGGTAATTTTGATTCTTCATTACGCATGTTCTTTTCATTCATTAAGGAAAGAATTACGCCTGGATCATGCTGATCTTCTTACAGTGACTGGACCGGTTGCTCGTTTTGCACGACAAATCGCTTCCCAAGGCTACATTGTCGCAGCGCCGTCTTCCTACCATGAGTTCACTGGACCTGAACCACTTGCCTATGATGTTCCTGGTACTGACAAGGGCAATGAATGGAAAATCACAAAGACGGTCCAAGCTTATGACGAGGATGCTTCTCTTTCGGTAGACACATTACTCGCAATGCCAACGTGCAACGGAAGAATCGGCGCTACTGGCAAGTATTGATTTTCTACAAGGAACAAGTACGCAGCTCATCATCTCTGTAGGCATGTGTCTAGGAGGTCACTTGGCATACCGTTGCGCTCTCGATCCACGCGTTTCTGCGGCAATTTGCTACTTTGCGACCGATATTCACAGCGGTACGCTGGGAAAGGGCAAAAAGGACGACTCGCTTGCTCGCTGTAAAGACATCAAAGGCGAGCTTGTCATGATATTCGGCAAGATGGACACGCACGTACCACCAGAAGGCCGAGACCTGATCAGAAAGGCGCTGCATGAGGCAGGCGTTACCTTTTCTTTCTACGAACCAGCCTGGGCGCAACGTGAGTATACCTGATCATGTCTGCTAGAGCCTTTCTGACGTACTAACCCGTCCGACAGATGCTTTCATCCGAGATGAGCTTAGCAAGGGGCGCTACGATGCTGCGTTGTCGGGAATCTGCTTTGAGATGCTCAAAGAGTTATTCAATCGCACATTACGCTCTGATCTGGGACCGAGGTCTGGGGGTGACGTCGAGATTGAGGACGTGTGCTAAACGTGAACTTGGAGCTTGTTACAAGAACCGATAGCTGGTTTGCAGATACTACTCTACATACGTCCAGGCCAATATGCATACTATGATCGAATGCAATGCATGAGTGCCGGCATTTGGCCGTGAGACTAGACCAGACTACTCTAACACTTAACCCGAGCGCTATACTTACAAGTAGGCGAAGCAAAACATAGCAGCCACGTGAATGGCGTAATGACAGGGGCATCAAGACCAGGAGCCAATCAACATGTCAATGACGAACATGCACGCCAAGCCGTCTAAAATGCGCTAACACCGACGATGTTTCTCGAACCTCGGAGGTTGACATCTTCAATTTGCCATCGCAACACCAATTCTACCACGTATCGCAAACACAGCACCCGAACACATAACCACCACATCACAACAACAACAAAATGCCTCGCCAACGCTCCGGAACCGCTCCTCCTCGCCGCCCTCAAGTCCCAGCAGCCAGGCAAGCTACCACTGCGCCTGCGCCCGCGTCATCACGCCCTCATTCGACTGCTGCGGCTCCCGCCCAGCATGCTCCCACTCATGCGCCCGTTCAGCAGGCGCAGGCTCCTACACCTCAAGGACCTGGTCTGTTTGGACAGATGGCTAGCACTGCTGCGTGAGTAGTCCCAGGCAACCATGTTTGACTTGAATAGATTTGCGCCATGAATGCCAGGCACCCCACTTTGTAGTTTGGACACTTGACTGATATGCTTGCAGTGGTGTCGCAGTAGGATCTTCAATCGGCCACGCAATTGGCGGTCTCTTCAGCGGTGGTTCTTCCGCCCCTGCCGATGCCGCACCCCAAAATACCGACTTCGCCGCACAGCACCAGGCATCCGCTCAAATGGCACAGGCGGGTCCCTGCGCAAACGACGTCCAGAGCTTCCGCAAGTGCATGGACGAGAACCAGGGTAGCTTGACCATCTGTGGATGGTACCTTGACCAACTCAAGGCATGCCAGGCGGCGGCTGGTCAGTACTAGAGAGTAGTTTTGATGTAGTAAGAGGATGGATCAAAAAGGATAGTGGCCAGTACGAGGGAGAAGTGTATGAATATATCGACACATTGAGTTGCATCTTTGAGCGCACATAGTGAATATGGCATTTGGACATTGCAGTTCCACACTGCATTATCTGGCCAATCAATCAATCAACCAATCACCACTTCAACATATGCTTTGATCGTCCTTGTATTTGCACAATATGACTGTATCTACTACACATGTCAGCAAATAATATCCTGTACGTATGAATTTTCAATCCCTTTAGTTGTCGTCTCGCTGCCAATGCTGACGTTGCTGTTCAGTGTTCAGTGTTCTGTGAGCTCAGTGTGCCAATCCGTGAAGAGCTCCTTCCGCAACAGATCAGTGGGGAAAACACCAACCAGAGCAAAATGGCAGGAACCCACGGGCTCGCGGTAAATAAAAAACTGAAGCCTAATTGTGTTTTTCTGCAAGCTTCTCGTCACGACACACGTTACAGCAGCACCAGCACCAGCAGCACCAGCAGCACCAGCAACAACAACAACAACGACGACGACGACGACGACAAAGATGACGATGACGACGACGATGAAGACGATGAAGCTCCTCCTTTTCGTTTTTTTTGTTTTCTTTCTCTTCTCTGGGGTTAACGCCCCCTTGCTGGGGGAGGATATGGGGGTGATGGGGGGGGTGATNATGGGGGAGATGAGGGGGGTGGTGGGGCAGATGGAGAAGATCAAGGAGGTGATGGAGAAGACCATAGCGGCGATGGAAAAGATCGAATCCAACACCCGGCCGGTTCTCCCCAGCTGGTCCCTGGCAGCCTTGATCCTGTCGCCCTTGTGGCTCCCATTTTTGACGTGGCTGGCCGGCAAGATCCCACTTCGGTGGTTCGAGGACAAGGACACCGCCAAAGCAGAGGCCGCCGTCGCCAAAGCAGAGGCCGCCGCCGCCAGAGCAGAGGCCGCCGCCGCCAGAGCCGAGGTCGCCGCCGCCAACATTGAGGCTACCAAAGCGAGAGACGATGCCGCTGCCGCTGCCGCCCAGTCCACCATCGAGAGGCTCCACGAACAGCTCGCTGCCGCCCAGGCCAAGACCACGGATGTCGAGAAAGAGCTTGCCGACACCAAGGCCAAGAACGCCGACAAGGTCAAGGACCTCCAAAGGAGGCTCGGTGTGATCAGGGACGCCATGGGATAGAAAACGCAAGCCGCGAAGGACAACGCGATAAAACCCGTAGAGCGAAGGAAAACTACGTACAATAAACCTCACGAAGGAAAACGTAAGGAATAACCATTTCGCCATCAATCCTGACATCGACACCTGGTCGAGGGTAAAACCTCGGCTGGGCCGGGCATCGGTCTGACGGGTCAGACGCTCCAACCAATGGGCGTACCCTGCATTGCACACTTGTGCATTAACTGGTGGGTCCGCTACAACATCATCAAGCGGATAGCAAAGATCAGACCTTCACTTGGCTCCTCCCTTCCCCAGGAAGCCAGTGTAAATCCGATGTCAGGAGGCAGTTATTATACTAGACTGGAATCTTTTCCAAATAGCACGAAAGCAGTTGACGCGGCGCTAGTCACATCATCAAGTCATCGAACAACTCACTCAGCTCTTCGACTCACCCAGTCCATCTCGAAAGGCGCGGCGGTTTCACATCCATCAAGACAACTAAGAGGTGCCAACCACATTGCCGTACTATTTTGAAAATTGCTTCGTTCTCCAAACTGGAACCAGATCATTCTTCAGTTGTGGGGCAGCTTCATATCAACCCACGCAGTCAAGACGGCGTCAATCTGGAGTATCACCAAGTAATCGAACAACTCGCTCGGATTTTCAATCCAGAACTAGTCTATCTACAAGCGCGGGTGCTTCGTACCAAACCAGTCGATTAGTACATCGGCAGACCGTCAGCAAGAACTCTTACCATGGTCGGCAGTCTCCACACAACCTGGACCAAGTGATATCTCCAAATCCAGGAAAACTTCGGATATCTACCTGTCCTTTGATTGGCCGCCCCAAATCTGGTTGAATTTGGTAGAGTGGCTCAACTCGAGCTACCTTGGGACGTGTATCTTTCGCGTCTAGCAATCACGTATGGCTTGCTGAGAGGTTTACTCAGTCTTAAAGATCAAGCTCGGATAACAGGACCTGCCCGCTCGCTCTACACCTGCTTGCTCTGCACTCGCTTGCTCTACAACCCTCCGAATATCTGTTTTCGCACAACACGATTGGACATTTAAAGATGCTTTCTTTTCTAAAAAGGATCCAAAGGTGGCACGAAGAACATAAGCCCATCGAGAACCCAGAGAAACAGGGCAACCAAAAAGTCCAAGCACCCCTCGCCGCCCTACACCACGAAGAACGCGAGCTCATCGAGGTGGAGAAACGGAACAATCAACAAGCTCAAGCACTCCTAGCCGCCTTACACAAGTTGCAATGTAACATGGACCCGTTCATAGCCGCTCAGACCTACAACAGTCGTTTCTGCCCCCTTACTAGCCGGCTACCAGATGAGCTCCTCCTCTGTGTACTCGACTTCTTGTCCGATGATGTCGTTACGCTATCATGTCTCCGGATAGTCTCGAGGAAATTTTTTCATATGGTTGGCAGCAAGCCGGTCTATGGGGAAAATCTGAAACCCATCATATACCAGTCCGAATCACTCCCAAAGGTTCCAAGGTACCAATTTCGGCGGCTATTACAAAGGGATGGTCGATGCGATAAATGCAAGCGTTGGAACGACACCTGTGACCCTCAATACTCTGATTGCAGTAAATTCGACCCAAGAATTTACCCGGATGCTGATGATGCAGAGTGGGCCCGGCTTCACCGCAAGCTCCACTGCTACGCCTGCGACAGTCTTCATAGCGTTTATGAATTTTCCTCTGACTATCAACAATCTTCAAGCCATCATTCAGAACGACGGTGTCTAGGGCAGCAGGGATCGGTCGAGTTATGTAAACATATTCAAATCAATTGGGCCAGTATCAAGGCCCATATTGATGACTGGCGGCGGCGGCAGCAGTATCGTGGGGGAGACTGGCGAGCCTGCCTTGATAGCTTCAACATCGAGTGTCACGATGCCAGCCATGACACACGCTGCACAGCCTCAGATGAGCCAACTTGGCCTCGAGCCCGTCTGAGCACCATATCCATCGATTCCACTAGCCCAGGCGCTGTAGTCCTCAGTCTAGAGTGGGCACCTCATAGCCGCATTGATACAATGAATCTCACTTCCGACGGTCGAATACCTGCACCAGAGTTGAGATTGTTATTTCAGAGACTTCGAGGTCTAGGCCCTGCCGATATCTTGTATCCTGCGTCCCATCTGGGCGATCCACCCGAGATGGCGTTCTTTGGTCCACTTTCCCATCGTCGGCATTTTGTTCACTATCAGACTGGAGACGATGACCAAACAAGATCCCAACCACCTCCACCCCTATACCTACCGTTTCAGAAACAAATGGGTCTGGATTTGCTCGTTGTTCTTCAAAGAGGGCTTCATGGCAAGAAGCTAGACATGGAACTGCATTCTTTGAGAAATGATGGTGATACCTCCATCGCCTCACACTGTCTTGCACTTCATTACAAGACAGACATCATAATCTGCAAGGTGAGGGACCTGGCAGATCCTACTGTCAAGATCATCCCCACCGACTGTTGGCTACACGCCATGGATACACAAACTTACCCGCATCCGCAAGCAAGCCATGTTAGGCCCCCGTGTAGGGACATTGCTTGTGTCAATTACTTCAAGAGGCGCAAAGCCCGCCACTACTGCAAGGGCCGGTGTTTCCTTTAGGAAGGACTGGACCAATCAACTGCTGTGACCGAGCGAGAACGCAAGGGACATGCGGGGGCGGGCCAATGATAGTAGGCTCTGCCAAGACTTTCCCCTCCTGCTTCTTTTCCAAAGATGATTACAAACTTTTGTGTCTTTGCTCTATCAAAAATGTCGGTCCAACTAGATATACTCATCGTGGGCGCAGGGCTGTCGGGTCTCGCAGCTGCGATCCAGTGCGCACTTTCAGGTCATCTTGTCACAGTGTTAGAGGCCGCAAAGGAGCTTGCCGAGGTGGGTGCAACATTCCCTAGCACCAAACAGGGCGACTAAATATCTTGTCAGGTAGGTGCCGGTCTCCAGTTGACACCAAACGCGACACGTCTGCTTCAACAGTGGTCCGTATATGACACTATTAAGGATCAAGTGTGTGAGCCCACTACACTCACAGTATACAATTACCGAGGCGAGACTCTCGCCCATGAGGATAACTTCGGCACAAACATTCGTCGGAAATATGGCGCGCCTTTCTCAGATTGTCACCGTGTGGATTTACAGCAAGCTTTGGCAAGAAGAGCAAAAGAGCTGGGTGTGCACGTTGTGCTGGATGCAAAGGTGATTGGCATGGACTTTGGTAGCGCTCCTGGCGACAGAGCACGTGCAAAATCATGCCAAGGTCAAACTTACGAAGCCGATCTCATTGTCGGAGCTGATGGGCTCTGGTCCTCTTGTCGGTCTACCATGCTCGGACGCAATGATCCTCCCTTGCCAACTGGAGACCTTGCGTACCGTATAGTACTCAGCGTTGATCAGATCGGCGACCCTAAATTGAAGGAGATGGTGCAGACACCCGCATGCCGATTTTGGGCGGGACCCGATGCTCACGCAGTAGCATACAGTATCCGCGGAGGGAACATGTATAATGTCGTCCTGCTCGTCCCTGATGACCTGGAAGAAGGGGTGGCGAGGACGCAGGGCAATTTAGATGAAATGAGGAGGCTGTTTGAGGGATGGGATCCTGTGTAGGCTACCCCACTTGCCTCATCCATTGCACAAGCCACTGACACGTACGTTTTAGGTTAACTCAGCTGCTCGAATGTGTTGACAGAGTGGACAAGTGGAAACTGATGCACCGTGCCGAGATGGACTCGTGGGTCAACGCACAAAATAACCTCGTACTAATTGGCGACTCATGTCACCCGATGCTCCCTTATCTTGCCCAGGGTGCTAACTCGTCCATCGAAGACGGCGCAGTCTTGGGCTTGCTTCTCGCCCCAGAACACTACAAGTCAAGACCACAACTACCGGAGACTTTACAGCTCTTCCAGCAATTGCGAAAAGCAAGGAGTGAAAGTATTGCGCGGGAAACATTCAAGCAGCGAAAAGACTTTCATCTACGTGATGGACCAGAACAAGCAATTCGTGACGCCACAATGTTGAGGCAACTAGGCAAAAGTCCAGAAGGTGCATTCCCGAGTCGCTGGACATGCCCCGAGGTGCAACCCTGGCTGTATGGGTATAACGCGACCGAAGAAGTTGGGGCGGCAATGCGAGCTTGAACATCGTGATGGACAATATGAACTCTGACCTCATCGGATGGTGTACAGGTATCGCGGCGTGTCATTTCCATTGTGAGAAGGCTACCAGGACTGAATGGTTGAGAGATGATGTTGCACCAGGAGCATCATGAAACGATGTACATGAGAAATGCCGAGGCATGTCGCAAGGCTAGCATGGGAAGCACTAGTAGCCTTACGCCACAGGGTCTCTAGAACCCTAGCTAATTTGCACATTGATCATGTCAGGGAATTGATTGCTTGGTGCATGATGCCGTTTCATACTTCCCATGTACTTTCTCAAACGATATCCTTCAAAAAGCAAATATCAAAGAGGAAAATAACTTGGCTGCTGTGGGTCGAGGAACTGGTGAATCGTAGGTTTTTGTACCATGCACAGGATCTGGTCGTGCCTGTAATGGACGACATTCATATAGTAGCAAATTCTGAATGTGTACCTATGACGGTGTTTTGATTCTCCGACAAGACCCTCTATTGTATGCATACTGCAAGTAACAAATCACATTTTCTCGGACGACAAAGCAGCCCTCGCAACGTCCATTGTGAAATCATAGTCGCTAGCCCACGGTCCGCGAAACAAACTAGTATAACTACTAGTACCATAACGATTGGTGATACGCCCGCCGCTAACGTAACGGCAACACTAGTCCACAGGCCCAGTGCTTTTCAGTGTGCCTATCAAGCCCCATGCCATGACATGTGAAACTTGAAGATCAACGGCAAACCCGGTCGTATACACAAAGCCTAGCGAAGAAGTGTCGATCCGCGGGGACAAACAACTACCACATCCCATGCCAAACATCAGGTAGTAAAGCACTGCACCGAATGCCGGCGTGATGTGTAGTACTCCGCACATCCCTCTCATCACCTTTTTTTTTTCTCCGCAGAGAAAACGAACGTTTCAAAAAATCGTACCCGCAGATGATCTGTCACCGGGACAGTTGGTCCTCGGCACATATGTATGCACATACTGTATCTCTCGCCACGTCGTGGGTATAAGAAGGGTAGTGGTGTAGCCGCCAGTGCTAGAGACGGCATCGACTTTCGATCCTGCCTTCACTTTTCCGCCCTGTTATTCTCGTGCAGCGCACATCTCGATCATATTTTGCTTCCTCTTGAAGCCTCCCCTGCCGTTCGTTCATCGAGATAGCCCTTCTATCTTTTTCTTTATCCCACAATCAAAGCATTCTTTCTTACCAGATCGAGACTTTAGACCGTCTTTGTGATAAACTCGATTCGATATGAAGTGTCCCGCTGCTCACGTTTTGGCGCTCGCGAGTGTCGCGGCTGCGTATCCGTATCCTCAGGAGTTGCCTTCTACCACAGAGCCTGGTGCGGGCTCTGGTACCGGTGCTGGTACTGGCATAGGCAGTGGCTCTGGACTCGGTGGACTCATTCCAGGTCTAGGCGGAGGATCAAGCCTGCCTAGCCTTGGTGGGGGTTCTGGTCTCCCTGGGCTTGGAGGAGGCTCTGGTCTACCTGGTCTTGGGGGTGGTTTGACCCTTCCTACCAAACTACCGAGCCTTGGGGGAGGTTCTGGCTTTCCTGGGCTTGGAGGAGGTCTTGGAGGGGGTTTTGCTCGACCTACTGGCTTCCCTAGTCTAGGAGGAGGTTCTGGTTTCCCGGGACTGGGAGGTGGATCTGGTCTTGGAGGAGGCCTTTCTCTGCCTACTAGCTTGCCCAGTCTAGGTGGAGGTTCAAGCTTCCCTGGCCTCGGTGGAGGTTCAAGTCTGCCAGGTCTTGGAGGGATCGGATCCTCAAGCAAAACCGCTGCTAGCGGCACTAGTATTGGTACTGGCGGTTCTTCGTGGATGGACTGGCTCAGCGGGCTGACTGGAGGCCTTGGTGGAGGTACTAGTGCTGGTAGTGGTGAAGCTGCACCGCCTGCTTCCCCCGATACCGAGACACCATCAGCGCCGGCAACTACAGCAGCGCCTGGAGGAAACAGCACTGGTGGCTCTGGAGGTACTGGCGGGAACTGCAAACCGCAGCAGGCTTCTTCCGGCCTTCTCGGAGGATCCGAAAACGGCATCGTGGACAAGAACTGTTGCACAGACATGACAGTCGTCTTTGCTCGTGGAACGGGCGAGATGGGCAACGTAGGCACCGTCTCCGGGCCACCCATGTTCAAGGCTATCCGTAGCAAGCTCGGTGCCGACCGCGTTACTGTCCAGGGTGTCGACTATCCCGCCTCTGCCGCTGGCAATGTCAACCTTGGTGGCGATGGTGGTGAGAAGATGGCGGCACTTGTCAAGCAGGTCAAGTCTCTGTGCCCCAACACTAAGGTCATTGTCTCTGGCTACTCACAGGGTGCTATGGTAGTCCACAATGCGTTTAACAAAGGCCTTTCGGCCGAAGATGTTAGCGGCGCGGTTCTCTTCGGAGACCCATTGAAGCGCACAGCCGTGGGAAAGCTTCCCACGGACAAGGTCAAGCAGTTTTGTGGCACTGCTGATCAGATCTGCGGCGGCGGTGGAGATGGTGGTGCCACCGGTAGCCACATCAGTTACGGTAGCAGTGCTGAGGCTGCGGCCACTTTTGCTATCCAGGCAGCCGGTCTTGCTTAGATGGATTAGGTTTGTATTGTCCATACAATACAGTATGAATATTTTAGTCAATGAATCGGTCGCTTGTTTATGGAAGATGCAGGCAGCGACTGGACATTTGGGCAGACTGTCGTATACTTTGGCTTAGCCACTCGAATTTTTGTATTTATTTTCCTTCATCTATGTACAAATATCAAACTCGATTTTTCTGACTAAAACCCTCTCCAATCATCATCAAACGTATTGAGTTAGCTATGTTTACGTGTCTCACATGATATATATGAAAACAGGGAACGTAGTGGGTTGATGTCAAGTTTGGTAGAAATTTGGTAATCTACCCTGAATCCATCATCAAGAACCCTACAATCCTAACCATGAGACAACATCTAAATTGCCCTCTAAAGAACATTTTTTTTTGTCAAGGAGAGCAAACGCATACTGTTTCAAATACCCATTGACAAATTTCACCAGAACTAAAGTCGTTTACATGGAAGTATTGAAGTTTTGAAGACAACCTTGAAGGAGATGGTACTGGCGACCCCCAAAGCAGCTGGGTGGCAGCAGCGACAGTGATTGGAAGTGCGATGACGGATGGAGACAGGCCTTCGTTCCTAACAAGAGGTTGATGATTATGCTCCATTGGATCATCCCTTGTATGATGATGTTGGGTCTAGCAAGAATTTACAGCCGAGTCCTACCCACAAAGCTCCTTTCTCTTTTCTGGCATTGCTTCAATCTGATGACAACGAAACGAGTCAGAAGGTTGAGATTGCATGGACATTCTCCTTCTACATGGTTTATCAACGCAAGAAACACGAAGAAAGGAAAAAGAAAAGCCACATAGGGACAAAATCAAGGTTATGACCAAAAACGAGTCCCTGTAGCTATTCAAGTCAAACGGTACTTATGTATTCGATGTTCTGACTGTCATACAGCTTACCGCATGCTGATCATGTAATGTACCTCGAGTCCTTCTAAACCACTGACGGGAAACCACCTCCCTGGAGAGAAACCGAGCCGAGCCGGCGCTAATTGACCGGACGCGCGCTTGCGCTTGTTTCACTTGATTCTGTTGTTCTATTTGCTACCGTTCATTACCCTTGCACAGGCTACGTCATCTTAGCTTTATCCTCTATATCACGTGATCATCACCCGACATGCATAGTAGTAATTCCAATGTGGAAATGAGGCGAGGTAACGAGGCGGTTAGGCGAGTTACATGAGCAAAGTGAACCGTGCTGGAATAATGGTTGTGCTATTGTGATGACGAAAGCGACGCACATCATTTCTCCACAAGTACGTTTCATGTTCCTGGATTGTCGTACGAGTTCTATAATTATCTTTCTCCCCCCCTATTTACTCGCTAGGATTTTATACAATGGAGTGAACAGTCATCCTATCATTGCAGTGGAGACTCCAAAAAGGAGGTGGTACTCTGATGTTTTCTAATGCACTCAACCAGCACAGGAAAGTGGGGATCATCCCATTGCTCGACACGAGGTCTCCAAACTCCGGTGCTTAGTGTGGGTCTTCAGTGAAGAGAGATTACTATTGTAGTAGCCCACAAGGGTTTTACGAATGCATCGTTGTCGTTCGCATAGACAACAAAAATCACTTAGTGAATTATCTCATGGATCATGGATCTGCATGTTTTATCTGAGAATGGCGTGTTGCGAAGATGCGTAATCGTTATAATTGCATCTGGTGTGTAGGAAAGCATTGTTGTTTCCTTCACTATCTTCACTAAACCTGGAGTCGTCAATTGAGGTTTAGCACAATGTAAACCGTCCAGGGTAGGGCCTGCCTGTAGTACGACGCGTGATTTTCATACAATGCACTCACTCGCAGTATCAAAAGACATCAGAGAATGGTACAACTCAACATATCACAAATCACAAGACCCATTAGTCACGAAAATCTTGAGAGATGACTATATCACTTATTCATGTAAACGTGCCAGCTCAATTTTGAGCCCAAGTTATGGCTTTGAAAGAGATGATTGGGTATAATAACAACAACAACAATAATGATATTCGAAGCGTACATATATACAATTTATCAATGCTCAACTAGCAGTAAACCTGTCATAGATGGTTCATAGATGGTAGCAACCATCCTCGATCGTTATATCGGTTGACAAGGACATTCTGAGCTCAATCCCTAACCGATCAGTGACTCTCCTCAAGTAATTCGATTCCCCATTCGGTGTGTTGATGGTGCAAAATCGATCCAATCCCTCAGTATTTCCTGATTATCTGACTTAAGAAGCGATAGCGCCACCGGCACCATGCATGTTGCAGTAGTATTCCCACTCATCACCGCCCATGTGCCAGTCATAGGAGGTACAGATGCTCATGCCACCCTTGTCTGCCTGTATGGTGTGTTAGTTCTGCAGGCTCATTTCTTCCTTTTGTTTCAGTTCCTTACCATTTTACAGTCAGGGCACGTGTCCCATTGCTTGTCGCCAGTGTGTCGCTGCGAGTATGAGTAACAGGCCTGTTCTGTGGCGGCTTGGTTGTAGGTTGCTGCGCCATTGGGCCAGTCGGCACAGATGCCACCGTAGTGGAGGTCTGCTGAAGCAACGTTCAGGATGGCAGCGATGACTGGCAGAGTGATAGAGAACTTCATGATTGCGGATAACTGAAGAGATGGTTGTCCTTGAAGAACTTGGATGGGTAGGGAATGGAAGTATTTATGAGAGAGCTATGTGTGTATGGGGTTGGTGATGCTCACAAGTAGAGTGCGGACGTATGGTAAATAAGTAGAAACGCTTGCTATGATGGAATCGGTGGTTCTATCCGCTGTTATCGTTGTGTAGGCATGATTCACGACCCTTGGTTCCCCACTGACCATCTCGGTATGATTGCGACCAACATTACCACCCCTGAAATGGCCGCGAGGCATCACAACAACAATCCTTCCGATGTTATGCCAAGGACAACGATCAAGATCATCCGTGAGGACGAAGTTTTTCCGAACTGGTGTCCTAGGGTAGTATTCTTAGTCGGGAACTACTATGGTACGACAGTTGGTAGCCCTTTCATGCACAGGGCACCAAGCGGCTGTCACGCAAGCGTCCTTCATGCGCTTCGGGCCGAACGTTGAGCTCATGTTTGCAAAAAGATCGAATCGGCAGTGTTCGGGAAAATTGGTTGCCTAGATAACCTGTTCCTGCAAGGCGAAACAGTATTTCACCGAGCATGCTCCGCATAGTGGCCTGGTCCTTGCATCACAAGAACCCCTGCCACCAAACTTCATCACGAAATGACAGCCCCGGATACTGAGGTTTGTCTATCTGCAAGAATCAGGTTTCTTTGCAGATCAGTGCTCAGACGAGTTAACCAAATCCAATGCTACTCCCTGTAGTTTTCCACATCTAAGATAACCATCTCAAGTTCGTGATGCTATAAAGTTTTGAAGCATCCAGCCCAAATCCAGAGTATCCACAGAGCATCTACACTCATTCCTTCCATCTCTATCCTTCTTCAGCAGGCCAACATATCGACTATTGACCGTCAATCTTCACAATGCATTTTACTCAACTCTTTACCATCGCAACCGGTGCCACACTGGCAGCCGCTGCTCCTGCTGCAGCTCCTGCAGCTCAGCCTGCCCCCATTGCTGTTGCAATGGACGATGTTGTCCTCCACGGCAACGGTCGCCTCCAAGTCATGAAGCGCTCAGAGTTTGACCAGCTATTCCCCGTCGACAAATATCCAGTTGGAACGCCAAGTCAGTTTGAACCCAACCTAATCACCTACACTGGCGCAGAGATTGCAAAAATGAGAAGCAGTTCTTTGTCGAAACGGGACACTTCAATCGTTATCCCTGGAAAAACGACCACGTTCACTGGCTGGGATGTGCAAGTCAGCCAGATCATTCAAGGTGGACTTGAAACAAAGATTACCGTAGCGGCTGGCTACAGTATCAGTAACAGTATTTCTGTTTCCGTGGGCGTCGATGCTACGATTATCGAAGACTTCCTCAAGACATCGATGTCCGTAACTAAAACATGGGAGACTACCAACAGTCTGACCCAGACCTTTTACACCGATGTGCCAGAGGGCAAGTGGGGTGCCTGGGTCTTCCGACCACTCACCACGCGCTACAGCGGTGCCGTGTGGCATGGCAAGATGGGAGACACAGGCTCTGTGTCAACATGGCAGGCGGACTCGTTCTCGAACAAGAGCTACAATGGCATGGACTGGATCGATGGTTACTTTGCAGCATGCTTCCAGGACACGTTCCCTATGCCCCGATGCCAGGGAGGAGGTTTCCTCTAAATGCCGAGTCTATGCTGATACATAGCTTGCAACACTCGCAATGGAAGAAGGTCTGGATCAATGAGTTTTGTTCTACGAAATACGGCATGGGTATTTGAATGTATATAGTTTGTGGCTTTAGACGAAGCCAAGTTTAGGATCAATGGAGTTTACTTACCATCACAACACCCCACTTTACCTGAACTTTGGTGACCAATCTTTGGACATGATTTGCAATGGTCTTAGAAAGAGTATAGTACAGCGTCATTGTGCCATTGAGACTTTAGTCCTACATAGCCCTACTCGGATTTACTTTTGCACTTATCTCTCTTTTGCCACGGGAAAAATGACTTGCACGCCTCTCAGTCAAAATCGATACCTTTAAATTTTGAATGCTGAGATTGGATTTCATCATGTATCTAGGAAAGTATTTGCCTTGGAAGAACCAAAACCATGTATGTGACACTGCTTGTACAAGAGAGAGAAATCACGGTAAACATAAAAAAAGCATTTATGACCAAGGCTGGCCAACTATAGCACCACTGTTATTATTATCAAGGGGTTCAGATTATCATGATGAACCATAAGAACTTGTAGTACTTGGTAGTATTCCGTAGAGTGTACACATAGTGGAGAATTCGCGATGAGCCATCAGACTCGAAACAAAACAACAGTCGCGGAATTCTCTCTCCTCCATGTTGAAGACAGAATCTGTCAGCAGCCTGTTCGAGACTCAGGATGACGGTCAGTCTTCTTGACCAAGTCCCTCAACCGCCAGAATCATCTGCCTACGCGGCCCTCGCCTTTAATTTCACGATGCATCACCCAGCTTACGATTTACACTCGCTGCCCGGACACGGCGATGCGGACGGTACCCCATCTGAGCACTCGTATTTTCTCAGCTGCAATGTCATCCTTAGCAACCCGAGTTATGTGCACGGAACATGTCACTCTGCCCGCGTGATTAGCAGGAAGTAGTAGTAGGAAGTGTCACGGTGTGTCGGGCAATCTGCCAAGATGGGCAAGAAACAAAACGGACCTGTTCTCTCGTGTGCGGCTGCTGTGGAGAACCATGTCCTCGACGGCCAGCGGGATTATTACGTACGGGATATAGGTCTAGGGGGTGGGACGGGTGGACGGGTGGACATGGTTGTGTTGTCTTGGCCCCGCGTACTACCTGTGTTGTTGATAAAAAAAGCGGACCCAAAGTGTCGGGTTGCCCGCAGATCCATCGTGGCGGCGCTTCTTTTTTGATTGCGCAAACGGCCAACAAGGCACGTTGGGGCTGACACGAGCGTTGATTGGATGCGCACGGGCCAACGAGAAACGAGAGATAGCGATAAGGGTAGAGAACGAAAGGCGGAGTCATGCGGAGAACAGGCTTCCGCCATGGTGTGTTAGAGAGAACACAGAACTAACCACCCCCCCTTGTCCCCCTTCGCAGAACCATGGCGGTAGGCAGGAAGCAGGGGTTCTCAACCCACCCCAAACGGGCCGATGGGGTAGCATAGTAGGCAGGTTGTGCTATGCATAGCTACCACCAGTTTCAGGTACGATTATCAGGACGGGGATCCTGGCACCACAGCCAGGCACGCTCGAGAGCTGCATACACAGTAAGCGCTACGTAAATTGTAGACACTCATTGAATTCAGGTCTTGTCATGCGTTCTAGTGTACCCGTTGAAACGTTGGCGGGAATACCCACCTTCATGTACACGTTGATGTCAAAGCTTTGCTCGGCCAGGCGTCAGGGTTGGCAAGTACTTTTTGTTGTAGCTCAATGAAGCTAGTATACATTCCTACATCTCAAGCCGTGATTGGCTAGCGGATTAAATCACAACTGATGAGGGTTACACTTTTGATGTCAGCGTTTGCATGGAACTGCGGTAAAATTGCGATCACCACATCTATTTTTCACTTGCTGCGCCAACACCTGGTGCTGAAACGGGCAAAAGTCTAGAAAAGGCAGGAATATGATCATACCACCGAGACGCAGCGGCTCATAGTACGTCAATCGGAGCGAATAACTGGCCTGAGCAATTTAGACTTTAGACAAACATGACTAGTAGTGTAAGTATTCGGTCGACTTTGACATTGACACCGTTGTGACTTTCCCAGTGCTTGTTTTCTGTGCGAAGTCCCACTAAGTAGTGTACTATGCAGTAATTCAGCCTATACATAGCACTGAACCGATTATCCGGACCTGCATTAGTACTTACGGCCTTAAGCCTGACAATCGGGCGCGATAGCTGTGCCCCCGCGCGACTAGTAGCACAAGTACCTACGCGACTAGCGTGTCTTCATGTCGACCTCAGACATCGGTGTGAGTAAGTCCCTTCTCGTATTCATATTAGCGGGGTTGGAATTTCTAATCTGTCGTCATGTGCGCGATTCCTTGATAGGACTAAGTCGTTCATGCTAATAGACGCCCGATAAGGAACCAAAAAAAAGAAGGCGGCGGGATAATCCACTCAACGCAAGTGGTGCTATGTAGGATGCGAAAGATTTGGGAGAGACTGGGCTTTGTCTGGTATACAGTAGGACACACACACACACACACTCCTTGGGCAAACGGTCAGCACAAGACTCGCCGACGCTTGCCTTCTTCTACAAACATGACGTACCATAAACCACAGCTTATGGCATTCTCGGCACAGGTTTCGATTCCTTGGCACAGCCAGATTGACCGCTTATCGTGCCTTTGAGTTGGGTTGACTGTTTCCGACTTATCAACTGCGATTGCACACCACTTCATGATTAGGATCGCGCGTAGCTCAGCGAGTATACAAAAGTTCTCCTTGTCTTCTTGTCATTTTTCAACACATTTCTCCATGCTACGCAGCGCCGGAATTTGCCCATGTCTTTCCATATTTGAATTCATGATGAGTATTCGATGCTAGTGATGTATTCACACTCCGGAGCAAGTCATGTCTTATCCGAGCCTTTCCCCGCACTCCTCACTTATACGTACAAAGTGTCAATCCAAGGTTTGAGCGCACCGAGCCCGATGATAACAGCTTCCTCTGTCCGGATGGTCCTGCTGCCCTGTCGTGGCACCAGGTTCACCCACGCGTCGAACAGCTGGTGTGCTGTAGATTTGTCTAGTCCTTTGCTAGTCAGTTCTGGGTCACTGGCGACCGCTGGTTCTATGCCCGCTTGACCGCCGAATACGATGAGTAGGTGGTTGAAGGATTCTGGAGCCCCAGAAACGGTGGAGCCAGACATGTTACCCGGGGAAACTCCACCGGTATTTGAGAGAAACGAATACACCGACTGTCCGCGCTCTGAGGTACCAATCGACATGTCGTAGCCACCAGGGTATTCGCACTCGGAGAAGACTGCGCCGAGCGAGGCAGCGCGCCGTACGTTGTAACCCCAATAATATCCGCCTTCCTCACGCGGTAAGCTGGCAGCACATGCCGTGGCCTCTAGACCGTCACAGTCTTGTTGTGAGAGATTGGGCCAGCCCTTCGGCGCTTCGTAATTAGCAAACCTTATAGTGGTGCGCATTCCTTGCTCCACAGGCGCCTCTTTGGGTATGGGTACGCGAATTGGATAAGGCAGACCACACTTGACGTATGCATAGTCTTCTTGTGCTACCTTCTTTGACTTGGTGCCGCCCGGGGCCGGTGCAGAGCCTACAAAGACACCCTCGCGGTACTGACACCACTCATGACTTCTTAAATGATGGGGCATGTCCATGCTGGGTAGATTACCCACCCACTTGAGATTTTGATGTTCCTTGAAGATACTCAACCGCGGATCCTCTCGATCATACCTCAAATGTGGAGGGCACTCCGCAAAAGCCAACAAATGGTACAGGAACTGATCAGGATTCTGCCATGCTTCATCTTGTTCGGAAATGCTGTCTAGAACCTGCTGTTTCGTGCGACCTTTGCGAATATACCTTTGGTCAATGACCTTGGAGTCAATGTTACTTGGATCGTCGTCATAAACCACTATTTCGTCGACACAGTAGATGGCTGCTGCGCGCGCAATGCGCCCAACCTGGATGGTTTTGTGATCAGGTTTCTTTGCATTCAGAGTCCAGCTGCCCGGAAGAGCAATCGTCACCGTCCAATTACGGCCCTTGGTAGGATTGAAGACGGCAGTCGGTCTTGACGTGTCGATATCTTCAACACTCTGCTCTTGTCCATCGCCCTTTCTCTTTTTCATAGGGCTATCATTGTCGCCGAGTGTCTTTCGCTTCTGCCGTCATGTCAGTCTCAAATTAAGACTGAAATAACTTTCACACTACCTTTCCATTCTCTTTCTCGTTGGATTTTGCATTCCTGGAGCGCGACTTGCTGTCGACCACAACAGTATCGTGGTCGTTGCCCATGCTGGCGCTATTTGATAAATTGCTGTTTCTGCTACTCGCTTCTCTAAAAGCTTAACTAGTGATAGGTTTTCAGGTAATGCTGGTTCTGCTGGGTGTGCAATGGCAAATGCAAGTCAAACGTTGGAGAATAAAAACAGAAGAAGCTGTTCGGTCCTGCATTAGCGCAATGCGCGCCGATCCACCGCCACATCCCTGTTCAACATTGAGGCACCCTGCCGCTCTAGGCAACGAACCTCACCTTTACCTGACTACTGCTTCTCTCTCTCTCTCCTCTAGCACAAAAACAGATACACACACACACCCTCTCTCTCCTCTAGCACAAATATGGAAGCTCCAAAGTATGCCTACCATATCCGATAATGCCGCCACTCTACTGACCAAGTGTCCAGGTCCTTCTTGTCGCGCACAACCAACACACTCATCGTCTTCTTCGCCCTGTACTTTACCACTCTCTTCTCCCTCGACACATGGGCCGCTGCACGGGGATCGCCATTTCGTGCGCCAGGTGGCAGCTCGTATAATCGGCCTGCACCCGTGGCCCCATCGCGACACAGCTACCAGGGCGGGATGCATGGTCGAGGGAATGCGGGGCCTGGAAGTGGCAGCGGTGGCGGCAACCGAAGGGTAGCACAGGTGAAAGATTCAAGACCGCCCATCAAAATGGGAGGTTCAGCTGCTTG